CAGCACCATAAACCAATGTGGCTGAGATAAAAGTCATAGCTGGATTTGGCTCATTGAGTGCAATAATTCCTAAAAGGAGTCAATGAAAAGTGCTGAGATCAAATGTATGAGGACTAGGGCAAAACCTTAGCAAACTGGCAAGGAACCAATAGAAGGTCCGGAATAAAGTGCAGGATTTAGAGTGGGTCAGGATAATACTCTAGCGAAACTGCCTAATAAAAGTCACAATGGAACATCCAGGTTTTTAATTCCTTCTGGAAGGAGGACAAGTTGGGAGCCTATCTGATCTCCCTAGGGAGGGAGTTCCAAAGCCGGGGGGCCACCACCAAGAAGGCCCTCTCCTTTGTCCCCACCAACCGCGCTTGAGACGGTGGCAGAAGTGAGAGCAGAGCCTCCCCGGATGACTTCAGGGTATGTACTGGTTCATAAGGGAAGATGTGATTGTAAAGAAACACTAAGTAACAGCATTTTGTTTTCAGTTACAGTACTAAAGTAAGAACTCATCTCATAGATGTCCTCTTACATAATTGAAAAATAGACTGAGCTGCCAATTTTCATTTTCAGGTCATACACAATAACAAAATTTTAAAATCTCTTGTACAAAATTCCTTCAAACAGTAACATTTGTTAACCTTACCAGAATATTAAACGATGTATACATAAGTTGCTTTGAATCTATATCATCCCTTCCCACAGATACATCTTTAGTTCAAAATGCAAAGTTCAGGCAAAACTATTTTTCTTGTTCAATATCATTGACCTGTATCTTTTCTCATCACTGTTATTAGTGGGGACAGTCTTCGTAAGATCACAGAGAGCCCCGTGGCTCCTTTAAGTCTAACAAAAAAATGTATTCTGACATAAACCATTTGCAAACTACAACTCATTTCATCAAATGTGATGGAATATGTATGGCTTCTGATAGTCATGAGCAAAGGTCTTGAAGTAGGCAATTCAAGTACTGTCAGTTAATCTACTGCATGCTAGTATGCTACATTATTAGATGAAAGCCATAAGTGGTTGGCCTCCTTTGCTTCATTTCAAATAACACTGAGAACTCCTGCATCATATATGTATTAAGCACAAGGGAAGTTCTATATACATGGAAAAATATTCAGTCTGAGGCCTTATGTTACCAGTTGTTTCCTCCATTTCGGTTGTGCCTCTCTATAATCTTTATTTATTTATTTATTTATTTCGAGGTTTTATATACCGACCTTCTCACCTTCAAGAGGGATTTGGACCGGTTCACAACATGTGTTAACATACAAAAAATAGACAATAACAACACAATGCCGCTTCATTACACGATTAAAATATCAGCACCATACACATTAAAACATTATCATCCCAGTTAAAAGAGCCAAATCGTCCGACACCATCACAATCCCATTCATCATCCTCCTTTCATGTGGGCAAAGAATTAAATCAGTTGTCAAATGCCGCGTTCCACAACCAGGTCTTTGTTAGTTTCCTGAACGTCATGAGGGAGGGGGCAGTTCTGATCTCTAATGGCAGGGAGTTCCAAAGTCGAGGGGCCACCATCGAGAAGGCCCTGTCCCTCGTCCCCACCAGCCGTGCTTGTGCAGGCGGTGGGACCGAGAGCAGGGCCCCTCCAGACGATCTTAGTGGTCTTGATGGTTCGTAGGGGAGAATACGTTCGGAGAGGTAAACAGGGCCGGAGTCGTTTAGGGCTTTATAGGTTAACATTTATATTCTGCTTTTCTCAGCCCTTGGGCAACTCAATGCTGTGAGATTGGGACTAGTTCTTTTGACCTATCAGGGAAAAAAGACTGTTTTTATAATGATTACGGAGGAAAAGTGTGTTTAAGTTGAGAGGGAGAGTATACAAACAAATCTTGCACGGACAGAAAAAGGCAAAGGAGAAAGTGGCAGCTGCAGATTTTCAATGCAAACGTTTACCATGATAGCAGAGAGACAGATGCCTGCCAACTACAAGATTGCCAGGGGCTATAGGCAAGTGTGCCATCAAGTGTAAGCATGACTGCTTTCCTTTCCCTTCTTCACTTACACACATTGTCAGAAAAATGCTGCATTCAAAGGAGATATTAAATATTTTATGTTCATATTTTGTGGGTCAGTGCACTGTTGTATTTTAATAGTTTTGAGAGTTGTTTCAACGACACTTTTTTCAAAATAAAGGTTGCACATACTATTTATATGCACACACAGTACAGGCAGTCCCTAAGTTACAAACAAGGTAAGTTCTGTAGGTTTGTCCTTAAGTTGAATTTGCATAAAAGTCAGAACTCATGTATTTTAAAACTGTAACAACAGCCAAATGGATAGCATAGGTGACAGTTAACACCCCTGTGGTGTTTGTTTTGTTGCCTGTGTCCCTGTTCAGAAGATTTCACCCCACTTTCTGTGAAAATTGGAATTTTTTAAAAAATGGCTTGTTGTGGAAACAAGGACTGATAAGACAGTTTCAGTGGAGACACCTTTTCCCCATGGTAACTATTTCATGAATAGCTTTACCTTCTTAGGGGTAGATGTCTCACCCTGTTCTTAAGTATGAGTCATTTGTAAGTAGGGTAATTGTAATTCAGGGCTGCCTGGATATGCAATAATCTTTATTGAGAATTTTGCATGCCTCTCCTTTTCTCAAATTCTTCTTTGTTTGGCATGCAGCATTATCATATACCAGTAATTTCCAAAATGTGTTCTACACGAGGACTGACAATGTGCCGTATAATATACATCTAATTAAATAACTAATCACTCCTATGAGTGCAAGACTGAGCCATTCTTTTAGCCTTCCTTCCTTTGTGGCAATGCCACTCTTCCTCCTCTCCTTCAGACCAGTCTGGCTGGAGTCCGAAAACATTTTCCATTCAGAGATGTGGGAGGAGTCCTTGACTACAGAAGAAACTTTGCATATTTTAAAAATTCTTAATTTTACTTGCTTTCCTCATTAGTGTGCTCCATAAATGAACTCAAGAGAAAAATGGCATGGAGAAAGGGCTCATTGCCAGGAAGGATAAGCGTAGGAGTAAAACTCAGTTTAAATTCAAGAGGGCTCATCTAAACAAGGTATACAAATCCATGATTAGAATTTCCAGCTTCAAAACAAAGTGCTCACGGGGGTTGGTTTGAATGAGTCAGGGTTTTTAACTGAGTGTCACTTCTTTCCCTTGCACAGTCTTTCTTATATAAATCCATTCTCCCTTGTAATACTAGTCACAGGGCAAAAAATCAGAAAAGAGGGAGAGCTAAATTCTGATTTAATAGCACTTTCCCAGATACAGCTTCTTTTAACTGAGAACCTGGTCATGCTGTAGTACATCAACATGTCACCTGAAGGCACACCTTTTTCTGTATGAAACCTGAAAAAGCTATTTGTATGTGTGTTTAAAAGCTGCACTCCCAGCTATTATAATTTACTACACCCATCTTCTGTTGGCTTCTGTTGGCATTATGAAGAATTTATAACTATATGCAGTGGGTTAAAGCGGTGAGCTGCTGAGCTTGTTGCCGGAAAGGTCGCAGGTTCGATTCCGGGGAGTGGCGTGAGCTTCCGCTGTCAGCCCCAGCTTCTGCCAACCTAACAGTTCAAAAACATGCAAATGTGAGTAGATCAATAGGTACCGCTCCGGCAGGAAGGTAACGGCATTCCATGCAGTCATGCCGGCCACATGACCTTGGAGATGTCTATGGAAAACGCCGGCTCTTTGGCTTAGAAATGAAGATGAGCACTACACTCCAGAGTCGGACACGACTGGACTTAATGTCAGGAGAAAACCTTTACCTTACCTATATATATATAACATAGGCTATTGGAGGCTAATCCACATACTAATTTATATTTTGTCTGTTAAAAGGTCACAAAAATATGCAAGTTCTATGTATTGTCGAAGGCTTTCATGGCTGGAATCACTGGGTTGTTGTATGGCCATGTTCTAGAGGCATTCTCTCCTGACGTTTCACCTGCATCTATGGCAAGCATCCTCAGAGGTAGTGAGGTCTGAGCATCATCACTACCTCTGAGGATGCTTATTTATTTATTTATTTATTTATATTTACAGCTTTTATATTCCGCCCTTCTCACCCTGCAGGGGACTCAGGGTGGATTACAGTATACACATATATGGCAAACATTCAATGCCAATTTTAAAATACAACATATACAGACATACACAGAGGCTATTTAACTTTTTCTGGCCACCAGGGAAGCTGTCGCTTTAATCATCCATCTGCGACGCACTTCTGCATTCCCGCAGGCTTCCCCGCTGGAATGCTTTGCTGGAGTCTTCTTTATGGCCTCATAAATCAGTTAATTTAGCCTCCCCACACTTTAAGGTGGTACATTATTTTCCTACTTGACAGATGCAACTGTCTTTCGGGTTGCAAAGGTCGACAACAGGCTACACACAATTGATTGGAAACCCACTCCAACCTGGGCGGGCTTCGAACTCATGACCTTTTGGTCAGAGTGATCTTAATGCAGCTGACACTCAGCCAGCTGCGCCACAATCCCAGTGCTTGCTATAGATGCAGGTGAAACGTCAGGAGAGAATGCCTCTAGAACATGGCCATATAGCCCGAAAAAACCTACAACAACCCTATGCAAATTCTCTTTTGAAGGTTGGGACGAAACAAGCATTCAACCAGTCCTTGCTGATGGCCAATTCTCTCACACCAGAAGCAACTTGCAGTTTCTCAAGTCACTCCTGTCCCCACTGATTCTTTTCCTAAAACATCTCACTCCTTAAGGACTGGGCATCCTTTGCAACTTGCTATACATAATTCATATTTTTAAAAACACCTAATAGTATACTTTCCCCCCTTATTTAACCCCAAACTCTACATTCGAGGCCCAACTTTTCGAACTGTTTCACTCCTTCCCTTGGCTTCCCAATCACTGCCTTTTGTCTTCCAGCTAGAAAACCGGAAGTGATAAAAAGCTATGGGCAAAGCAAAAGGGAAACTGCCTTCACTCAGTCTTACTGCGCATGCGCCGATTTCCTCCTCTCCTTCCTCGGCTTTTCTGTAACTTAGCAACCCAAAGAAGTGCATTGTGGGCTTAAGGGACTAGGCCTCGAAGAGGGGCCTCGGCTGAAGGGAAGTTTACCTTTTTCGGGTAACGAAGCAGGCGCGTTAAACTGATAATTTGGAAACACTAGGATATCGGGGGAATTCCCAGTATGTTCATTGTTGTTGTTGTTGTTGTTGTTGTTGTTGTTGTTGTTGTTGTTGTTGTTGTTGCCTTCTCCTCTCTGTATAGCTTTTAAATAATTTAACATTGTGTTGAAGCAGGCCTGGGCAAACTTGGGCCCTCCAGGTGTTTTGGACTTCAACTCCCACAATTCCTAACAGCCGGTAGGCTGTTAGGAATTGTGGGAGTTGAAGTCCAAAACACCTGGAGGGCCCAAGTTTGCCCAGGCCTGATCTAAAGTCAAATATTTTTTGGTTGGTTGGTTTGTACCACAAAGGCTTCTACATACCTTTGATGGATCTGGACCAAACATTACCTGGGAAGGTTGCCAAAAGTTAAAGTGGACATGACAGCAGCCACACAATTTTTGGACGTGAATAATCAAATTTGTAAAAGGCAAATAGCAAATATGGAGCAATGACTGTAAAGGCAAGTGCCCCAGGCTCCATCTGTATAAGTCCCACATGACAGCTGATCATAAGCATAAGGACAATGGATATGTTTACTTTTCAAGATGACCAGTCAATAAATTTCAGTTTTGTATTCATTAACATTTACTGATTGCAGAAATTGAAAGTCATCTCTTTTAACATTCAGTGTTTCTTAGGCTACAATGATGAAAAACGTCCACCTGGCCCCTGAAGCAGATGAAGATGATCTTTATTCTGGATACAATGACTACAACCCTACCTTTGATACAGAGGTAAAATATCTTGATTTCTCATTTGTGATAAATAATCATTATCTGTGTCTTAAACCTAGTATCTGTGTTTTCATTTAATATGTCCTCTCTAGGCATATTATAAATCCTTGAGCAGGCCAAAAATCTTGGGCCAAAAATCCTTTATTCCAGTAGGATCCACGTTGTCCATTGTTTTGCCTATTGATGCAAAATCTGGGACTCCTGTGAATGTAGAGGTCTTAGTTAACTGGAACTATAAATGTGCAGGATAGTCAGCATCGTTGTAATAAATAGGACTTCTGAAGGAGTTTTTAAAAAGTAATGAATTGTACCTCTTTGTATTATTTAACAACTATGTAGGGAAGACTGCATTATAAAATTAATTACTCCATTATTATTTGCTGATGATGCTTTGTTGTGTTCTCTTAGGATCTAGAAAATGACCCAGCTTTTCAACAGGCTGTGAAAACTAGTCATGGTAGAAGACCTCCAGTAAGTAAATACTTAGCATCAGACTCTCTCTCTCTGTGTCTCTGTCTCTCTCTCTCTCTATATATATATAAATATGAGAGATGTTCAGTTGTGTCAGTAGGTTTTGCTTAGAAAACAACCATAGAAATAATAACTTCAGAGTGCGCTAATAAGTTACTGAATGTATATGTTCGTTAGCAAATGATGGCAGTTCAAGGAAGATGTGTACAAGGGCAGTGAAAAGCATACCTATATAACTGCATGATGAAATAACTGATTGCCTATCTTGCCTATCATGCTTATATTGACTAGATGGGAATATTTTTCCAGATCTATTACATGAAACCTTTAACCTGAGATTTTGTGGGTCGTATCTGTGGCATCTCACACTCACACCTCATGATCTCTTGCTAAATTACGGTTACTGTTGGCTTATATACTTTTTGTAATATGATAGTTCTTTCAGTCTACTTGTTCACCACTAGAACAGTACACAAGCTGACTGGAGGAAACTTCTGACTTGTGTTCAATAATATCTCTTACCAATTGGAAAGTGTTCTCCTTGTTATCAGTAGGAGGCAGTCTTGTCTTAATTCTGCAGAAAGACTTGACACTTCTTTTTCTTGTCATTAATTATGTGTTATGCTTAAAACAGGTTTGTATTTTGTTAGAAATAATGTGAAAATGCCATTTTGTACAAATCGATATATAGCTTCTCATAATTTTCTGTAATAATTATATTAAATTAGTTTTGTAGACTAAAAGGTTTTCTGATAATTCTGAATTAATTATAAACTCTTGTCTTATAAGTTTACAGCCAAAGTTCCAGGTACATCCAGTTCAAGAACTTTAGCTACTGGATATGGGGTAGGTATTTATTTATAATGTATTTTTATTGGGATATTTTTTGGCTCAGCATTTCAGCCAGTGAGCCCTAAATGTTAATTTTGAATTTTGAATCTGATCCTTTCATCCTTCTCATGAAGTGAGTTTTATATATAACTGAATAGAAAAGGTAGTGCTTTCAGAGATAAGTGAAATACTGTAGCAATGTGGTTTGCAGGCACATTATTTATATCTATAAGGAAAAATTTTGCTATTTGGGGGCTTTATCCCTTTCCACAATTTCTTTCTGCTGTTATCCGTCAGTTACTTTTCTATTTCTGAGAAATTTAATGTTTACTTATCATACAATTAATGCTATGTGATTAAAACAAAACAAAACATTGTCCTGGCGACATGAATAGGCGTAGAGAATAGGCCAAAGAATTAAAGTTGCGCTAAAACTGGACAACATTGAGAAAAAAGAGGTAAATAGCAGATCTGCTATTTCTGTGGCAGGAAAGGGAAGGATATTCTATGAGCAGTTGTCCTTCTTGAAGAATATATTTTATGGTTATTCACATTTAATTTACCACTGGTAAAAATTGGCATACTCATCACTGGCTCTTATTTGGAATTATTTCTCCATCAAGCAAGTAATACAATGTCTGAAATTAAAGATCCTGTCTTTACTTCTGTGGATGTTGCAATAATATAGGAGTCTGTAGTTGATATTAGCACAGTGTCCACTTGATGGTGTTAGAAGAGTGATTCCCAAGCTTCATCCCTCTTCTTCCCTTAGCAAGGCAGAATAGAGTGATTATTGACTTTGAATGTTTTCTACATTGTTATAGTCAAAGACAACACTCTCTTCATCCATTGGCAGACCAGTGACAGCAGCAGTACAGGTAGTTAATGTACAATTATTTATTGCTCATAAACAGCCATTATCATGCATTGTAATATACAGAACAATTATAGATAACAGTGGCATAGAGTTTATCTTAAAACCAAGAAAATAAACAAAACTGGGACATGTGTGTGTTATTAAGCATTCAACTTTGGTGTTTAATGATAATTTCTTAGTAAAATTGTGATTTCTCCTTTGCAGTGAAAATAAATGTAACAGGTAAAAAACTTAGAAAGTAAAACTAAATTCTGCATATATTTTCCTTGAATTACATCTAGGTCAATGATGCCTACTTTATGTGGAGGATTTCTTTAAGACCTAATTTTATAATTACTGAGGAAACATTCCATTGGTCTGCAGTCTTCTTCTCATACATGGGAATAACTACTAAAGCTTTGTAGGGAGAATGTGTTATTTTCTTATTTTCTTCTCCATATGCTGAAAATACATGTACTTAAAAATAGACAATTAAACTCAATCTGTATCACATCCAATTGTTATAGTCAGCCAGGGTGTATTTCTAACATAAGAAGGTGATCTGACTCCCTGACTAGGGTTGATTGGATCATCACTGCAGCCCATCACCTGCAGTCCAGCATTGCCACCTTTTCTTATTCATTCAGGAGATAACTTATTTGCTTTAGGTCCAACATTTTTCTTTCCCTCATCTTCACTGCCCTCTGCATACCATGATGGGCATATCTTCACTGGCCATTTAATGCATCTTGGAGTCAGCTTCAAAGTCTAGTGGCTATGCAATGCATGTTGCAAAAGCATGCTGCAGGGTATTTTAAACCCATTTAAACTGAGATAAAGTCAAGTGGATATTCCAAAATAAAGCTCATAATGTACATCAGTGTAAAACACATTGCATGGCAAAAGTGATTGCAGAATGCAAATTGTTAACCAAAGTTTTCCACTGATGCGCGTATGCACATTACTGTGGAGAGGGGAAATATTCTCTGTGGCTGTCAAGTCAGGGATATTGCAGATTCTAGAAGTAGCCTCTGCGGTTTGTGTAATCACCATCTAATCCTTGAACTGGTTTCAGGATTACCAATCTAATCATCCACACATCAACACTGCTGTCTTTGCCGCTTGAAACTGACCTAAGTGATCAGTGTAGATATGCCCTCAAACTTCCAGAGCAGGCTTGTCAGGTGAATGGGAAACTAGATTTCCCTCTTCCTAATTTCACTGGCAAAAGTAATACTAAAAGCAGATATTTTCTGTTGCACTCCAGCAGCAATTGCATGTTTTCAGTACGTTATATAGGACCTCCTTGCAGCAACACCAGAGGCACTCCAAGTGGCCAGCTACTGGTCAAAGGACATTTAATCAACTACCAAGCTTGCAAACTCTTTTTTGTCTGTTTGTTAAAAAATTGTTAAAAATGTAATACTTGTTGATACTGACACGATAAATAAAAATAAAGTATGTTATATTGTATATAAACTTGATCAGCTTCAAACATACTAAATTCTACAGTGTTTGCTACAGAGAATATTACAAGAATAAGTGTATTTTAAGTGTATTATAGAATAATATAATAGGAATATTTATTTTGAAGTAAAGCCATTATTTTCAGTAGACCTTCTAAATGTGTATAAGTTGCCTTAATAAAATTTATCACAAATGTATTATACAGCATCAATAAAGAATCTAAGTTCAGAATAATGGAATATAGTTTATGGCTCAGTTCTGTCAGTTGCCATCAGCACCGTGCTATGTTCAGACTCTTTTTTTTCTTCATGATTGCTAGCAACAAACCCTACCTTCATTTATTCCTTCAGGATGGGGTTGCTCGACCTATGACAGCAGTTCAGGCAGCAGGTTACACAAAAGCATCTTCAAGAGGTATATGTCCCCACAAAATGATTGGCTATGACTGGAAAACATTATAGCACCATTCTTAGTCTAGTTTATTAATCTGTAGGTGCTGCATTTGATCCTCTTGGTCAATCTAGGGGACCAGCTCCTCCTCTAGAAACAAAAAATGAAGATAGGTATGTAAAATTGTTTTGTTTTCATATTTTTTTTTCAGCTATAGTTTTTAGATTCTTCTTTTAATCAGTAATATTTTATCAAGGTTTTATCACTTATGCTGGGAATGGGAACAGTTCGTATACTACCTTTTACTGAGCAAATCTGTACCCAGAGAAGTTTGGGAAACCACCTTGTTTTACGGAGGTTGAAAGCAATATTGATTTGATTTTCTGCTAGTAAGGGCAAATCTCAAAGAAAGCCAGTGCAGTGTAGTAGTTTGAGCAGTGGACTAAGACTCTGGACATCAGGGTTTGTGTCCTTGCTCAGCCATGGAAACTTTCTGGGTGACCTTGGACTCAGCCTCAGAGAAAGGCAGGCAAGCCTTGTCTGAACAAATCTTGCTAAATGTCAAGGGGAGATTGTAGTAAATGTAAAAGCTGTTAAGAGTTACAACATCTATGATTCAAAGTCTGGGAAAGATCATGTTTAAAACTATGACATCTACAATTCGCCAACATCAATTGTGTATATTTTATTATTTTATGTTATGTCTATATGTTATCTGGAATACACAATGAAAATGTGAAATATAAACGTGTTAAATCCAGTAAAACTGAAGTCTGCAAAAGGTTTTGGACTATAGATTTCCTGCTAAGTATGTGCTATTTTATTTTTTAGCTGTGATTTTATATTTATTCTTTGTTTTTGTATTTATGATATGCTTTTATTGTGCCTTTTGCAAGCCACACATTGAGTGCATCCAAAAAAAAAAATACAAAGCAGTTAGCAAGGGGGGGGGGGGTTGCCGCTGGTATTGTTTTGTCTTTGTAGATAAATAATGCTTTTGTGTTTCCAACCTATAGTCCAGAAGGAAAAATTAAACAATTGGAGAAAAAAGTAAATGAGTTAGTCGAAGAAAGCTCTATTGCTCATAGCTGTGGAGATTTAAAACTGGTATGTCACAGATTTTAATTAATATTTTAACTTCATAATATAGAACAGAACTCTGATTTCATAACTTTCAAATGTTCATCTTACTTTGCCTGCTGAATATTAAGCAGAAACTATGGCTAGTCCAAATAAAGCCCTTGAATCATAAGCATTCTGTATTCCATCACATGCAGATGTTTCTCCTATGCAAATGAGCCCATTTGTTTGTTAACACATTGACATAAAAATAATTGGAAATTTTGAAGACAGTGTTGACCATGTTGTCAGATGTTGATTCTATATACAAGGCTGCTCTGAGGCGCAGAACTGTGGCAGTCTTTAAAAATAAATTGAGAGTTAAATTTGGGGTCGAGAATCCAGCTTGCTATGAATACTTTGTGTTCCTTCTTAAACAACAATAATTCCTTCTCCTGTTCACTTGCATAGTTCTATTTGTCATTCCTATTTAAAAACTCAAGAAGATTGTTCTGCTAGAGGTCCAGTACTGGAAGTAGACTTTATTATGCTTGGTGTTCCCTGTAATTTATAAAACTTAAATTAGCATTACCCAATCCTGAAGATGGACATTTGGGGGCACGTTAAGAACTCTAGTTGGGAAGAGGAAGAAAAGTTGGTTTTTAAAGTCCCAAGTTCATAATCTGCTTGCCTGAATTTTCCAATGATTTTTTTGTGATATACTGTAATATCTTCTAACTGGAGCCCCCGGTGGCACAGTGGGTTAAATCCCTGTGCCGGCAGGACTGAAGACCGACAGGTCACAGGTTCGAATCTGGGGAGAGGCGGATGAGCTCCCTCTATCAACTCCAGCTCCCCATGCGGGGACGTGAGAGAAGCCTCCCACAAGGGTGATACAAACATCAAATCATCCGGGCGTCCCCTGGGCAACGTCCTTGCAGACGGCTAATTCACTCACACCAGAAGTGACTTGCAGTTTCTCAAGTCGCCCCTGACACGACAAAAAAAATCTTCTAACTATAAATTCTGAAGAAGCACACAACTGAATTCATATGGAAACTAAAATGAAAACTCTGCCCCTTATTTGAGCTCTAGTTGAAAGACCCATGTTTTGCAGATATGTTCTCTTCTATCTGTTCCTCTATGGATTTTCTGTTTTTGTGCTGTAGGAATATGTTTTTGTTTCATGCAGCATGTTCTGAAAGAGGCAAAACTGAGCTATAATTTCTCTTCTTTAAGGCTCTTGAGAAGGCAAAAGATGCTGGAAGAAAAGAAAGAGCATTAGTGAGGCAGCGTGAACAGACAATGTCTCCTGCTAACATCAATCTAGATCTTACTTACACTGTAAGTACTTATTAATTTATTTATTTGGTCCAGTATTATTTTCAGATCTGTACAACTGTCAGATATTCACAGATTCTCTTCTGCTGCTATTTTGTGTTTGCCACTACATGTCTTCCTGGTTGGAAACTCCCATTTCCTGCTGTTTGGTGTAACTCTCAGAATGAAAATAAATAAATAAAACCAAGTTTTTAAAAAATCATATATTATAAATGTTCTCATTTCTTTTCTTCTAGGTGCTTTTCAATTTGGCTAGCCAGTATTCTGCTAACGAAATGTATGCAGAAGCACTAAATACCTATCAGGTCATAGTGAAAAACAAGATGTTTGTTAATGGAGGTAAGTGATACTCACAAGACCTAAACTTGCTAATGAATTAAGGAATACATCCCACGAAAGGGTAACTCTTCATCTGTATCTTACGCTGTGATTAATTGTACCTGCTCCAATAATGCATTTTCTGTTTGTTACAATAACAATTGATACAAACTCTAATTTTTTTCTCAAACATTTATAGCAAACATGAAAGGCCTCTCTGGCTAGACTGTTACGTTCAAGTAATGTAAAGGACTCTGGTGCCTGTCCCAGCTAATTGACATTCCTCCAGATGGAAATGTCTGTCTAAGCCCAGATTGTTTTGAAGTTTCTTTGCTCTGAGCCCAATGTCTCAGCTCTGAGAGCAGTCAGGTTATGATAATGAATTTAGGGCAAACCTGATTAAGTCAGTGTTACTCTGCATCAAATGTTAGTTTTTAATCCAGTAGGGGGACAGAGGAGGAGTGCATGCCACTCATAGACTTGGAGTTGGGAGAGACCAAAGGAGCCAGCCAGTCCAACCCAAACACCCCTTTGCAGGAACACACAAATCAGTTAGTTATTCCTAAAGGATGGCCACCCAGACTCCTTTAAAAAACTCCCAAAGAAGACTCCACACTTCAAGGCAATTTATATCACTGTCAAAGAGCTCTACTGAGCTTTCTAATATTCTCATGGAATTTCTTTTCATGTAGTTTGAACCCATTGTTTCATGTCTGTAGAGCAGCAGAAAATAAACAACTTCAATATAGCACTCTTTCAAATATTTAAACAGAGTTTCATATCACCTCTTAACCTTTTCTTTTCCAGGCAAAACATATCCTGGCTAGAAAAGTGTTTTAATTTTTTAAAAATCTGAACCATATCTTAATGCTGATACTTGGTATGTGGTTGTTCTGTTCAAGGAGTCTCATAATCATTCCACTAACAGATTACCCATGTGTAGCTTTTAATACCAGAACACAGATTTCTTTTTCACACATTAGATTAAGATATTTTCAGTCACAGATGGTACAGGTTTTATTGTCTGTACATATTTCATTTTTATGTTCTCCAGGTGCTTCTGTGTACTCATTTATATCGCATATATTCTATATATAATCCAAATAAGATTCTGTGGAATATGTGGGACCTGGGCTATATTTAATTCATTGTATTGTTTGGTAGGCATGCTGAAGGTGAACATGGCAAATATTTATTTGAAACAGAGAAACTATTCAAAAGCGATCAAATTTTACCGAATGGCTCTAGATCAGATTGCAAGTGTCCATAAAGAGATGAGGTGAGTCCCAGTAGGAACCAATTTGATATTGCTTGCTGTTACAGCATCTGAACTGAGAAGACCCTCCTGCTATTTCTTAGGAGATTGGTGAAGACCTGTGTATAGATAAATGTTTAACTGATTTTACTGCTATCTTCATTTTACCTTGATAGAAAACAGTCCTTTATATGTTCACGTATCACAAAGAGATGGGGAATATGTCTCACCATTATATAAAAGAATATAAAGGGTGGTGCATGACCAGGTTTCTCTTTCTTCCCCCATATTACTTTCTCATATTCCTTCACTTGGGGTATTTTTTCCCAGTGCAAGTCTGATTCTGGAATGAATGCAGCCTGGGGACTATAGTCTTTAAGCAAAAGAACACAGAGAAAGATGGTAGAATGGGAAAGGGTTCAGTTCCACTAACAATGGTGTAAAAGGAAGTTACTACTCTACATTTCTATTTATATGCTAATGAACAGAGTCCAGAAGTAAGGAATGATAGGTGATAAAGTTAACCATTTCCAGTTACTCTTTGAATAAATGACAGTGGTTCTTTGTGCAAACAATTACATTTGAAAAGCAATGCAACTATTAACAGTTGTTCGCTGATGCAAGGCACAACTATTCCTACTTTCAAGACTTGACACTTTAAGAGCATTTTAGAGACATTTTGACGAGTATTTTAATATCCAATATTATTCTCTCAGAAAAATAAGAGAAGGTGATAGAAAAAATTGAAAAGCAATAATCAGGACAATTAATAACACAATAAAAGAGACATTTTTAGAACCTGGGAGAGGTGAATCATGAGAATGGAAAGGCTGGGAAACCATGAAATGATGATGGCATGGAGAAAACTCCAGAGAAGGGATCGGGAGAATGCAAAGATTGGGAAACCCTGAAATGATGATGACATGGGGGGGGGGGGGGACTCCAGAGACTCAGATTGAGAACCCTGAGGGGTTTCAGTCCCATGCAGTTAAGTTCCTCCACTCTTCACTTTTAAAAAAATCTGTAACTGGGTAAATATTGTGAAATAATAGTTTCTAACAGTAATTTCTTTAATCAGGATTAAAATAATGCAGAACATCGGAATTGCATTTATTAAAACTGGCCAATATACTGATGCCATTAGTTCATTTGAGCATATTATGAGCACTTCGCCAAACCTGAAAGCAGGCTTCAATTTGATCCTTTGCTATTTTGCTACTGGAGACAGAGACCAAATGAAAAAAGCTTTCCAAAAATTAATTGCTGTTCCATTGGATATTGATGATGATGACAAGTATATTTCACAAGGGGTAAGTATAAGCAAAGATGTAGCTAAACGTTGTAAAACTTGCAAAGTAACAACATTTGAATTATGGAGTAAGATGCAGCATATTATAATGGAATGCAAAGGTTATTGTCATGGTTCTGCATTGTGTCTTTTTTTTACACCCAGAGTTTTCAAATGCAGTTCTGAAGTAGAGATTTCTGATACATTTTTATTAAATGTTACAAAAAGAGCATATGGTTGGCTCTCTGTATCCATGGTTTCTGCATTTACAAATTCAACCCACCATGATTTGAATATCTTCAAATTTCAAAAAGCAAATCTTTATTTTGCCAGACATTGATGTGTAGGCATATCCTCTTGTAATCTCCTGCCATTTCAGAGATCATCAGGCTCTCTCCCACACTTGTCTGAGTTGTTCATCGTTTTAAATAAGGGATTCCATTTTACTACACCATTGTACATAATGGGATGTTTTGACATGTTACAGAGGGTCCTGGAACCAAACTCCAGTTGTCCACCGCATAGATGTAACTTCTATGGAGGAACAGTTTAATAACAAATTATCTGACCTGTTGCATTGCACAATGCAACAGTTGACCATCAAGATGCCTCCAGAATAATCATAGACATGTATTCTTTTCTGTGGTCCTTGTTTTAATTTTAATGTTAAGAAAAGGAAGTGCTATATGTTATTTGTAATCTGTTCTAAAATCTAATGCCTTTATATGTCATTTTTTATTTATATAACTACAGTGTACTTTCTGTGTTTACATAGGATGATGCACATACAAACCTATTGATAGAGGCAATTAAAAATGATAGCTTACGGCAAATGGAACGTGAAAGGTAAAATTGGATGTCACTTGTGTTGTATAATTGCAAAGGATCTTCTTTGATTTGTGGATATATTTAAACGGTGGAATGGGGATCTGATCTACATAGCCAATAATCTTCATTTACCAAAATGGGACATTGGGACCCAAAGAAACCCTGGGGAAAACTGTTTTGACAAATTATTTTTACTGTTGAGGTACTTTTTATTCAAGACAACTGACAGGGACAAAAAAGTTACAGAGGTGTATTTATTTACTTATTTACAACATTTCTGCCCCGCTTTTTTTCACCCTGGAGGGGACTCAAGGCAGTTTACACTTAGGCAACGTAGAGCTAATTCACCCTGGCTGTTGGTAGGTTGGCCACATTTAAGTTAATGTGAGAATTGGAATACTCAGTTGAGTTAAGAAATACAAGAAGTGAACATGGAAGTTTATCTCCCAGCTCTTAACAACCCTATCCACATTATTAATCTCCGAATCATCAATATATAAGAATGTTCTAATCAGAAAAATCCCACAATCTGCTCAATACTAATTGTTTGCAGCTTGGTGTCTCAAGAATGTTAAACAAATGTTGTATTTTGTTTAGTTGTGCCCTTGTCAAGTTAAATGTTCTTTGGCATCCAACTATGCTGTGCAGACAGCATAGGTTTATTAAATTATCCACTCTGAATTCCGGTAACATTGATACTTGTTTTCCACCATCTCTCCATCTGTTTGTTCTGTGTTTCAATTTGAGACTTTTATTTATCTCTCACCAAAACAGATTTCTCAGATGTGGGAATGCAGGAGTTCAAATAGCACAAAATGTTGCAGCATAGAGTATTCCTGTTCAGAGTTATCAGTCAGCCATAACATGTTCACAGATTATAAATTCAATGTTTACTTTCTTTTGTTTTTCTATTTCATTTCTGCTCCTCAGAGCGGTCAGTATTTCATATTAGTATATATTACATAAATATGGCTAATCTATAGTCTATATAATAAATGTGTTTTTAATGTGCCACAAGATTCTTGGTGATTCTTGCTAGTATCTTTACAAGGTGTTGTGGTCAGTCCCTGTATTCCTGTGATATCTGTGATCATTTTTTTCTGGAAAAAAATGTCTTGTGTTTTTAAGGAAAGCTACAGCAGAAAAATATATAATGACAGCTGCTAAATTAATTGCTCCAGCAATTGAAACATCATTTGCAGTTGGCTATGACTGGTAGGTAGCATTTTTCAAATGAGTTGTTATTTTCATATAATGTATTCTGGAATTGCCCAGAGGGACAATTGCAACATTGTTGTGCCAGTTTCTTCCTCTCTTGCAGATCAGCATTTTAAAATGTCATATTCAAGCTCCCTTGAATTCTCTGTGGGGAGAAGGTGGAATATAAATGAAATAAATAAAATATTTTCAAGAGTCCATATAATTTTGTAACTATCCAATCAGATCATTTTCTCTCCATGAAGTGATAGTTAGTTCCTCAGATAAAATGAGACAAGTCATACGTCACAAATTGTATAGTTGGATGTCCAAGCTCCAAACCTTGTACCCTAAATCTAAAAGTGATTTAGAAGTTATCTAGAAGTGATGGCTAAGATTGTGATCCAAAAAGCCTTTAGTTCAAGTTGCTCTTGCATTATGAACTCCCTGTTGGTTTTGTGGAAGCTGAGTCTCAATCTGAATTTGTCTGTGAAATAATATGATAATTCTGGGCTGTGTTGTAAAGCTGTTGCAAAGGAGGTTGTATACCTTGCCCATTTGCCAGGATAGATTAAGCTCAACAGAAGCTGAATCTATCCTGGCTATCTGTCAGGGGTGCTTTGAATGTGATTTTCCTGCTTCTTGGCAGGGGGTTGGGTTGGATGGCCCACAGGGCCTCTTATAACTCTATGATTCTATGAAGCATGTGGTGTGTGTGTGTATAAACAAACTGTTGTGTCTCAGCATCAGGATAGATAGGATTTTTTTCTAGAAGGCTACAGTACATATTGGATTTTAAAACTAGGTGATAAAATGCTTTCTTGAAATCAGGATGTTCGCTATGTAACAAAGAATTTTGCATTTGATTTCAATTCTTATAGGTGTGTAGACGTAGTGAAAACTTCCCAGTACGTGGAATTAGCCAATGACCTGGAAATTAATAAAGCAATTACATATTTGCGGCAAAAAGATTTTAATCAGGTATAGTGTTTTTACAAAATTCTTTTTGTACATTGGTAAACATTAAGTAATAATAATACTATTTCAAGTATAAATTTCCATTATAATATCCCTCAATGAACCGAAAGCAATCCTTCTCTATAATCACACTATTAAATGGAGAATTCAGAACATTTTCTTTGCTTCCTTCTTCCAATTTAATTGACATCAATAAAACTGAACTTTTTATTAACCTGTGATCCAGAATGCAATGTTAGGTCTAAATCTGATCAGTTTTTATAATGATAATTCGAGGATACTATATGGTGTAACCATGGAGTAGCTCTCACTTTTATCTTTTTGTTTAAATTGATGACATTTATTTTGCTTTATTCTTTCCTTTCTTGTACTCTTTTTCCAAATTTGTTTGGTGATGTAAGTATGATGAGGTATGTATTATACTTATATGTATTAAAATATTATTTTTGCACAAGTTTACTGTAAAGTGGTACATACTTAAAAGAAAAGCAAACATATTGGCACTTTACTAGCAACTCATTGTCATCGTCGTCCTCCCTTCGTTCTGAAAATTAAATTCAGTTTTCTCTATTTTAGTTTGGCATATTTGATTGTATCCCCTGGCAAATTATTCAGGGAATCTATCCTCCATTTTAGATGTTCATGGGTTGCATATGCATATGTATTCAGAAATATGTTTGTAGCCTTAACATAAAAAGTTTATTCCATTTTTAAGGCAGTAAAACATTGTTTTAGGAAAGAGAAAAGTAAGAGTAGTGACCCAGCCAATCAGCATTGTGTACTCTACTGTAAGCACACAAATAGTTTCTCCTGAGTTTGTTCAGTCAAATAGACATCTGTAAATGCTATGTGTGCACCTTCACAGTAGACCCTTAAATCTAGACCCTTATTTAGGCAAATGAATACTTGTAACTGTATTCTGTACCCACAGGAAATTATGTAAATGTCCCCGTCCCCCCTTTTAGTTCTGGATAGGATTCTGACCTTGCAGGGGCCATGAAATATTAGACCCCTTTATCTATGCCACCACATAGGTGTCTGTAGTGCCTCCTCCTTGGTTGAAACACTTACTTCAGAGAAGTGTAAATTAGTAGATCAGGAAGTTACCTCTTGGGAAGCAGGGAGACTAACTGATGTACCACAAGATGGACAAAAACATAGACCAGCTGGACTTGGTCTAAAGAAAAATCCTGCAAATGAAAAAATAGAGTTTGATTGGTTGCTGACAATATTCTTTATTGGTAGCAGCAAATCTCAGCAGGTTTTTGGTTGGAGTGTTCATGGTCATAATCTTTGTCGTGCCTTCTCACTTGTAGGATTGCATCCTCAGGTTCTGTATACATTGCTGTAATTTCATTGTAGTTGCATTATTTTGTTTATATTGCTGTATCTGTATGTAGTGCCCTAAATGTACATTCAAGTTGCAATGTCTTGCTCTGGATGCTCTTCCATATTCTTATAATGCAGAAAAATTACAGCATTTGGACATTCTTGGGCAGTGATATGAGTCCCAAAGAGCTGAAAAATATGCCAAAATAATCATTTGATCATCACTGTCATCATGGTTTCTTAGCCATAGGAATGCAACTTTAAACTCCATATGCCTTGTTGTAGTTTCACTGTGGTTGCATTATTTCAATTACAGGCAGTCCCCGAGTTACAAACATCTGATTTACAAACCACTCACACTTAAGTGTGGGACTGAGACAACAGGAAGTGAGATAAATCTACCTCTTAGAAGAGAAATCCACTCCTGAAAGAGTTTTCATGGGGAAAAGGTGTCTCAACTGAAGCTGTCTCACCAATCCTTGTTTCCACAACAAGCCAAAATTTTCTGAATCCAATTGTCACAGGGACAGAAAGCGAGGTGAAATTTTCTGATCAGGGGCACAGATAGCAAAACAAACACCACAGGGATGTTAACCCTTCCCTATGCTATCCAAAGCTTATATAGCTGGAGTTACACCTCAAAATTGTACCTGTTCCGACTAACAAGCAAATTCAACTTAGGAACAAACTTACTTATTTTGTTTGTAACTTGGGGACTGCCAGTATATTGCTGTATTTGTATGTGGTGCCCTTGATCATACACTTCTAGCAAGCAATTCTTTATTTTCTTAACAGATTTTCTGTTGCTTTCAAGAGAGTAGTTATATCTGTGGTGTACTATGTTTACCAAAGGTCCCTGGTTAAATCTCCCACCTCCTCAGGCAGGGATATATATGGAAGGCCCCTGTCTATTTGCAATCAATCAAGACAACATTGAGCTGAAATGAACAATTGTGTTTTTTTTCTCTGGGTGTATCTAAACCATAGAATTAATACTGTTCGATGCCATTTTAACTGCCATGGCTCAGGCTTTGGAATCCTAGGAGCTGTTGTTTGGCACTCTTTGGCAGAGAAGGTTGAAGACCTTGTAAAACAACAATTCCCAGGATTCTGTAGCATTGAGTCTTGACAGTTAAAGCTCATCACAAACATCAGGTGAGAATGCTTCTGGAACATGGTCATATAGCCCGGAAAACTCAGCAACCCAGTGATTCCGACCATGTAAGCCTTAGATAACACAGTTAAAGTGATGCTGAAGTGTATTAATTCTACAGTGTAGATGCATCCTATAAGTCTCTTAAGGTTTCTCTTTGTTACTTGTTACTTGCATTCATTTTTGATATATATTTATTGAGATAATGACTTATTGAAGGCAGTGCTGTTATCGTCAACCACAGCATGTGAATATATCTAGACTTAAATCAGGTTCATGGTTCCAACTTCTGTCAATCCATTAATCATGAAACATATTTAGGTGTTGACTTTTCAAACAATTGACCAAGTCTGCTCTAGTTGAGACTGACAATTTAATTGACTTGGCACTATGAGCTACATTTTTGTAAAAAAGAAATACATTCCTTTATTAAGCACTACCTTGGAAACAATCATTTTTTATTTTAGCAAAATCGTTTTGGCTAAGTATATACAATTAAATATATCTATTGATGAACAAAAACCTGTAGTCTGTAGATCACAAAACATCTAGTACAATTTACCTGTGAATTATTAATAAATGTATGCACATTTAAAACATTTTTTTCTCTGGAATTAATGAACTCTGTAGATAATAATGAAAATAGGGTTTCTGCTGTGACTGTAGCATGTACTTCCTAAGTGGTTTGCTGGGGAGCAATAAACATGAGCTCGTTCCATGGGCTTTGCATATGTGCTCTTTTGCACCTCATAAATTAAGACACTAATGCACTTTGTGCTGGAAACTATAAAACTAGTATGTACTTCACATACTTGACTCATTGCTCTAAGGTACATTCACTTTATAATAAGTAACTGAAATGTTGGGCTTCGTAAACTTCTGGGGGGTGCGGGGGTAGACAGAAACAACCCAGTGATATGTAACTAGTCTTTTTATATTACAAAAAGGATTAAGTTCAAGTTGTAAAATAAAGAAAAGGTGTAGACTTTGGTATGCAAAATGCAGTGGCAGCAACACATGCTACTATGGTAAACATTTTTTCCACACTGTAGGAAAATACATCTTTTATAAAACACATATTTTACCCTATTTTCTCTTTTGGTAACAATATTTTTAAGAAAAAAAATGCAGAGGCATCTATTTGGTAAAAAAGATTTTAAAAAGTTTATTGTGGTAACTATGCCATTTAAAAAGACACAAAACTGGGTATTTTTGAGATTATCTGGATTTCTTCACTAGACAAAATATTTAAAATCAGGAAAAAGGAGTGAAGATTTTAACTTTAAATCACGTTCTTTGCATATTGCAGTCTTGTCTGTAATATGGTTCAAAGTATCTGCAAATCCACAAAGTGTCCTAATTCAATAAGAGTTCTGTTAGAAAGTATTGTAGTTACTGGATTAAGAAAGATATGGAAAGACAGGAGAACCCAGATTAGATTGCTATACGTTGTGGCATGTCATTTTGGTTGCTATTCTTGTTAGTTTGTTTTTTGTATGGTTCAAACAAATAGTGTACAGCATTTGTAATTGTATCAATGAAAGGATTTTTAAAAGGGAGAGAATGAACTCTCAGAAAGTAAAATTCTATAAAAACCCAGTTTCCAGTGCTTTTGACATTGGCATGTATAGCTTGATACCCATGTGATGTACTGATTTGAGCATTGGACTATAAATGGAGAACAGGGTTCAAATCCCTTTTCATCCATAGAAATCCACTGGGTAACCTTGGGCAATCACACTCTCTCGGCCTCAAAGGAAGACAATGGCAAACCACTCTGAATAAATCTGGCAAAGAAAACTCTGTGATGATTTTGCCTTGAGGTCATCATAAATAATAAATAACTTAGATGACAGACAACATATGGTATTTAAAATTGAAATATTAATCTTAGCATAAGAGATACTGCTGTGATAAGTTAGACCCAGAATCAGTAATGCTGTAGTCTAGTCTGTTCCTTCCTCACAAAACAGAAAATAGGAGTAGTGTCGCTGTAGAATTAGAAGCAATTGTTGGGCGCCTTTTTAAAGGGACTGATTTTCACAACAGCACTGGAAAGAGTTTGTGCATAGTTTGCAATTATGTATCGGTTAGGCAATCAAAGGTGAAGTTGTTGGAGCCACATCTAAATAAAGAACTTTTAAAAACAAAGTCCTTTGACCAGCTGATAAAATGCCATGGGGCATGAAAGTGAGACACATCAGGTCCAGTTGTTATTGTATGCCTTCTGAGTTGTGACAAGTGTAAGTAGATTTGAAGGCACATCATATCAATGAGACAGTGGTTTGAAAATCATTTGAGCTTTTGGTGGAAGCTGAAGAGAAAAATAAGAATTGATCAGTCAAAGTAAAGGCAAGTTTGTGGTTTCTGAGTCTGATCTAGATCTGCTATACTTGCCAAATATACTTTTTCCTTGTGTCTGCTAGTCTCTTCCACTTGTGGACTTTGGAGTACAACTTGTTGGTCAAGATCCTACATGAGGATAATATAGTGTTAATCTCCCCATGAAGAATTGCTAATGGATTGTGCTAAATAACCCTTGTGTTGAATGCCAACAACATGCAACTTCATTCATAGTTAAAGAAATGGGAGTGGGGCCAGATTCATTGAAACAAGCACAACAGTTAAATCTTTTATATCCAGAACTTTGTCTTATTCCTTGATATTTTCATTTCTTGTTTTAGATCCAGTGATATTTGGAAATACACACATCTTTAGAATTATTTCAGTTCTGTCTATATGACAAGGAAGTGTTCATACAAATTTTATATTTGTTCATTGTGATTTGTCATAGGAAATTGTCATTTGCAGTCAGTCTTATGCAAGTTTACTCAGACTTGTTTTGCCCTTTTGCCCACAGAACTGCTGGGGAGAGCTATGACTCTTTGTCCCATAGAACATTTACTTTGAAAAAAAACCCCTTTCACTTCATTGGCAAATAGTATGATCTGAATGGTTATGCTCAAACACCTTTCATATGTTGCTGTTAAATAATGTAGTATTATGAATCAACAATGCACTGACCAAATAGGCACAATATCCTGAACTAAGAATTTATTTTGCATAGTTTCCTACAACAGAAGTTCAGCAACCCTTGTTTAAATGGATTTTCAATATGAATAACTTTATTACTTACTTCTAGGCTGTGGAGACATTAAAGATGTTTGAGAAAAAAGACAGCAGAGTCAAAAGTGCAGCTGCAACAAATCTTTCTTTTCTTTATTTCTTGGTAAGTGACTCCTTGGGATGGTGCTTATTAACTTAAGTCTGAGGGTATTCAGCCTCAGTAGATGTTTCCATTTGGTTTGTCTTAAAATATAATGCAGATATTTTGGGAAGACAACTGTGAAATAAATTTCACAGCTAAACAGCTAAATTCTTGCAAGCATCATCATCATAAAACGCCAGATATGATGATGGATAAAGCAGAGTGTTTCAATCGTACCCCACCCCCAAAAGCTGAAATTCATTCAGTGTCTGAAGCTGGTATCTAAAAATAAATAATCAGTGTTACACGGAAGAGAAAGGGAACAGTGCTTTGAGTTCAGTATCTTTTCTTGCAGTTTCTCAAGTCACTCCTGACACGACAAAAAAGAAAGAAAGAAAGAAAAGTATCTTTTCTCCCTCTCTGTATCCTACTCTCCATATAAAAAATCATAACCCGAATGATGGGTCACATCTTAGATTTCTGTGTTATTCAAGAGTATCACTGAGAAGCATAGATGATTAATATGGAGCCAAACACTCTGATATCTTGAGTTTACCGTGAACCCAGAGTTTGTGTTTTCAGTTGAATACCAGACGTGTCCATCTCAGTAACACTTTTAAACATTATCTCCAAAGCTTCCCTCTGATACTTTTATCTATATTGTTTGGATAAATTTGGTAGTTGCCTTAGTACCAAGAAGCTTGAGCATAAAGAGGAGAGCCATACTAATCCTCCTCCTCATATAGATATTTGTTACTTTAGAGGGAAATACTTATGATACGGTTTTTGAACATCATGTATTATTCTTTGCCTTGGGAAAGCCTTGCATATGTCCTTCAAATAGCTTGGGGAAAACATCTTCAGTGATTCTTTGATGTGGTTCCTTTTTCTGACATCATCCGTTTTCTGCTCAATTTGCAAGTATTACCATCCCTAAGGAGCACATTCATTATATTTCTAAGAGCCAAACTAAATAATTTGTGGAAGAGCTGTAACACAGTTATTCTTTCCTTTAAAAAAAAACAACAGCCATAAAGAGACTGATTTGGACTAGACCTGGAGTATTTGCCCAGCATTTTAAATACTTTTCCATAGACAGATCCCTTTCACATCAATTCTGATATATAAGCTATAGAGTACAAGTTGGGGGTGGGGGGTTGGACAGGTACTGTAATAGCCATTACTTATGACAGGTTTGAACATCTACCAAAAAGTAAGTCTCTTTAAGTCAAAACTTGGCAAAGTGAAACCCACACACGGCACCCAGGTCCCTGGGGACCAGCATATTTGTTTTCAAAATGTTTTTCAAAAACAGGTTTCTTTTTTGTGGTCTCTTTGAATCACATAATTGGGTATTCTGCACAGACGTAGAGCAGTGTTCAGAACCTTCTAGAATCACTAGGCAGAAAAGTTTTGGCGGTAACCCCGTCCACTATTCCAATTTGTCGCTGAAACCCCTTAGTTCCTTTAATCCGCGCTGCAGCTGCTTCATGAACCTTTGAGCCCTTTAAGCTGTTTAGTCTTCCGACTCTGTTATTGCAAAATTCTTTAATTCACTCTTCTATTCAGTCAGAGAGAGTCTTCCAGTTCGCTGTTCGTAAAGCTCCTATGTTTGCTTTCACTCTCATGCTATTGTGCGTACGGGGCTTATGGCCTAGTATGGCCTAGTGCGGGATGGCCTCCACGACTCACTTTAAGAAGTGCAAACAGTGTGGTGGGAAGCTCCCCGACACAGATGGACACTCTTTAAGTGCCTCCTTTGCCTGGGCGAGGAGCATGTTGTTGAGTCCTGCATCCACTGCCAGACCTCTACCTCCCAAGTGAGGAAAAATTGAGAGGTGAGGCTTTGATCTTCTCTTTGCCAACAAGCCTTGCTGCCTTCTTCCTCAGTTTTGGCTCCCATTGCAAAATCCTCTGGAAGCCTATTCCTCCTCTGACTTCTGTGAAGGAGAAATATGAAACATTCGGCTGAAGAAGCCATGGCTTCCCACTCTGAAAAGACAAAGTATAAAAAGCCTACTTTATTGCCTAAGAAAACCCCAACTTTGGGGAAAGCTAAGGAGGCCAGAAGGAAAAAGGCCAGAAAACTGGCTGAGAGGCATGATCCTAGAGAATCCAAGGGCAAACCAGCTCTGACCGCTGAACCTCCACAAATGGCATCCATGGAGTTCTCTCCTCTGGTTCTGCCTCTAGAAGGTGTGCCTGAAGCCACCAAGCCGCACTCTGATGTAGAGGAGGTGGATCTCTCTACTGGCAGTTGACAAGGTGCCCCCTTTGACTTGTGTTTGTTCTTGTATTTATTTAGAGACAAACTGTCTCTTAACTTGCTAGTAAAGTATTTGTATTTATTGTAGGAAAATGAAGTTACCCAGGCCAGCAATTATGCAGATTTAGCTGTAAATTCTGATAGATACAATCCAGCTGCTCTCACAAATAAAGGAAATACAATTTTTGTAAATGGAGACTATGAGAAGGCAGCAGAGTTTTATAAGGAAGCTTTAAGGAATGATTCTTCTTGCACTGAAGCACTTTATAATATTGGTAAGTACTTGTGCTGTAGTCTGAGATAGGACTTTTAGAGAGATGGGAGAAATAGCTAGGGCAGTATGAACTCGGGAGTGGCAGTGCAGCTAACTACGAATTCACTGAAGATGTCCATAGCAATGAATGACAATTTAATGATAATCCAAAATATCCAACTTAGCCATATAAATGAACAAAATAAAATCAGGGCTTTTACAATTATCTCTTAGTAAAGGTAAAGGTTTTCCCTTGACATTAAGTCTAGTTGAGTCTGACTCTGGGGTGGTGGTGCTCATCTCCATTTCTAAGTCGAAGAGCCGGCATTGTCCGTAGATGCCTCCAAGGTCACGTGGCTGGCATGACTGCATGGAGTGCTGTTATCACTTATATGACAAAAACATTTGATAGATTGGGTTGGAAATACCTACATAAGACAAGTGCTGGCTTGAATATTCGCATTAGCTCCTTAAAAATCTTACTTACATTCTGTGGATGGTTAGCAGAGCACGCACTGGCCAACACACATTTTGGTGCCCCAAATGTTAGACCTGTTTCTGGGTATATTTTACCTGCTGATTCCAAAAATGGCACCAGTTTCCCCCTATCAGTTCTTGCTTTTGAGATACAGAACATATCCCATCTACCAGTTACCATATGCTCTCCCACAGAAAATCATGATCACCATATCAAAGAAACTAGAGATGATGCAGTCTATCCAATACAATTTTCTGAATCAGATCTCCAAGTATTCCCAGGAACAGGCCTAAAAATCAAGACACGGGGTTGTGTATTTTAATATCCCACTGCTATCCATTCAAGGCTAACAAAGTAGGCAGGCTAATGGCATTAGTGAATGTTGACGGTTTAAAGATAACAGGGAAAAGATACCTGTTTGTTTGTTTGTTTACTGCATTTCTATGCCAGCTTTCTCAGCCCGAAGGCTTACAAGGCAGCCAATGATAGCCTTTGACATGGAAGTTAATAGCAAGAATGATGATTTCTCTGATGTAGAGACAGGCAGCGAGTGTAACACAAACAGATGGTTTTCAACAGAGGCATTTGCAGATTTAGAGTTAAGAAGTTAATTAAAATATAAGACTGGAAGAAAGTGAGGATTCCAGCAAGGGTCTCTGTCCTAAAAAAAATAAAATCCAAAGCTGAAAAACAGAGCATTTTAAGGATTTTATACAATTAGAGTGTGAAGCTCCAATGAATGCAAAGTGGTTGTTAGGATATAGTCAGAAAAGATATGTTTAGTAAGAAAGTGACAGATCAGCTGATCACTGCCAATATGAATTCTGCATTAACATGTAGTGAGATGGACATCAAGTCGGTTTTTTGAAGTGGCCATTGAATTCTTAGCCATTGCGCTCAAATCAGACCTGCAGCTATCAGATAGCCTTTATTCATCAAACAAAAGTTCTTGATAAACTTGTTTGCCAGTGATAGTGTTCTCAGATCTCTTGTTAGACATTTATTTGGCAATACTTTGTTCTGATCCTCACTTTATGCTTCCTTTATAACAACAAAAGCCAATAGGATTTTTGCCTGGCACAGCATGGCCAGGCAACACATCATCTGCATAAGATGTGAACCTTTTAACGTCTTCTACACTCATCAGTTTATTGTAGTATTTGGTACAAGGGAATGAACTATCTGAAAAATAATTCCTACTCTGCAGGGGATTATTTTTCTTTTCCCATATTAATTGTGCTCCTTTGTCATGAAAATGTGTTGAAACTTCTTCTTTTGTTTACCTTTATTGTAGGTTTAACATTAAAAAAACTGAACAGATTAGATGAAGCATTGGATTCTTTTCTGAAGCTACACGCTATCCTTCGAAATAGCGCCCAGGTTCTTTTCCAGATAGCAAGCATGTATCTTTTCAAGAAATATAGTCAAACATTTCAGATATTGAATTCTTTATATATAATATGATCCGATATCCATGATTTCACTTATGCTCCAAAAAATTCCCTTTCAGAAGTGTTTGAGGACCTCTCTTGGTCTTCTAGTGCAATTCTATATAGGATGATTTCTGCCCAAGTAGAACAAAAAGGAACATTCACCATTATCCACAGTTTCAGTTTTATCTACAGGGAATCTTGGAGCATTTCCCCTGTGGATGTAAGAATCATTGTATCTCAGTTGTATCTCATGTAAATCTTTCATTGGAATTTGTGAGTGTCATAAAATATTACACTTAGATTTCTTAGCAGATCATACCTCAGATATGAATTAATGGAGGATCCAAATCAGGCAATTGAGTGGCTTATGCAGCTCATCAGTGTTGTTCCAACAGATTCACATGCATTAGCAAAGCTTGGGGAACTCTATGATACTGAAGGTGATAAGTCACAAGCTTTTCAATATTATTTCGAGGTATGTGTTTTTTCAGATTATAATTCTATATGTACATATAATGCTGACTGTATTTTCTGTACAGAAGGAAAAGTTGTATATAAGGAATAGCATTTTAAATAAGTATCTTAGAAGTTTAAATTGAATTTAACTCCTTTGTCTTTAATGAAGAGTAATACTTGGCATATTTAAGAAGGCTGTATAAGATAAAAGCTTCATCAGGGAATAGATGCAGAAATGTTGAGTTCACTTTACTTCAGATGGTATAAGGGTTAAGTTCCTTGTGAAAGTGATGTATGGTATAGTTAGGTGGTGTCCCTTATATAAAATAGCAAAATCAAGGCTTGCTTTTTGGATTTTAAAAGCATTCAAACTCTGGATAGTAGAATCCATACATGCAGAATCTGTTGATACAACATTCATCAACTTTGCAATATATACCTTGTGTTTTTTTCCAGTGAACGCAAAGGATATAAAATATATCTTTTTGTTTCCTGTTTTTAGTTGTAGCACCACTGGAAACCTTGAAACTTCTATTTAATTTTGTTCTTTACCACACAGTGGCTTTTTAGTTACTACTTTGTTCCGTCTTGCTTTGGCAGCTGTCTACAGCTGTGTTTTTTTGTTTATTTGAACAAGGAAGCAGTGGTTGAGGTGCCACAATCCTTGCTTTTTTACCTTCAGCATAAATTGAATGATTTGATATTTTTACTTTTAGAGCTGATGTTCCAATCATACTTATTAGGAAATAAGCCCTAATATACACCGTGAGATTTCTGTTTGAGTAAACATAGGATTGTGTCTGAATTATCTGAATTATACTTTAGCTTTGGTTATTTTAAAAATCTAAACAACTAAAGCATAGTTCTAATTCATGTCATTTTCCCTTCCCAAGTACACTTCTTTCAGCAGAGGTGCAGGAAACTTATCCTGCAAATGAATTTCAAAAAACAAAATATTTCAAGAAAATTAATTTTTCAAGAAAATTAATCTATTTTGTGGTGTTTACTTTGTTTTGCAAAATTGACATTTTGGGGGGGGGGGGGGAAGACACCTGGAAAATATGACACTCCATTCAGCAAAGTCTTCTAAAACGTTTTCTGTTGAGGGCAAAACATGACACATTCTCTTTAGGGATTAGTTGGGGTATTAGCACACTGCTCTCATTCATGTATTACATATTTTCAGCATCTGGAGAATTAAACACATACATGAGTAAGATATTCCAGAAGCAAAATAAAGATGTTGTTTATCACTAATGCTGTGTTTCTTTCACCTTCTTTATTTTGTCAGTCCTATCGGTATTTCCCTTCAAACATTGAGGTCATTGAATGGCTTGGAGCCTATTACATTGACACACAATTTTGTGAAAAAGCAATTCACTACTTTGAAAGAGCAGCACTTATTCAGTAAGTAATGGTGCATTCAAACCAGTATCAGTGGTAAGGGGACTTTGGGCAATGCAGTTATGCTACATTAAATACTTTAATGTAAAAAATACAACATGCAATAATAGAATAGTTGTTTTTTAAATTATTTATATGTTCCATTTGTTTAAAAGTTGTGCTGAGCTGTCAGCTTAAGCAACAATACAACATTGAGCAATTCCATCTACCTGGGTGGTCTGAATAGCATGTGTCAAGTAAATAGTATATTTAACCTGGATAATAAAACTTTGTGCATTACAGTGTATGGTGAAAGTTTTAAGAATGATTTTTTTTCCTTTTTAAGGATTTATATCTCACTTCCAAATTAAATAATTTTCAGGACATCTTAAATTTCAAAAATACAATACAAAGCAATTGGTTTATCTTTGATTATTTTGTGAGTCAGGAAAACCTGAAGGACAGTGGGGCATGTTGAGGAGTTATTTTCCTGGTGTCACTGCTGTTATTCTTGTGGGATTACAATAAACTCTGCAAAATAAAAAAATATATAAATCAAACAATTAGGTACCCTTGAATTAAGCGTAATGCTTTCTGTCTCATGTCAGTGTAGACCAGGCATAACCAAACTTGTGTCCTCCATGTGTTTTGGACTTCAACTCCCACAATTCCTAACAGCCTCAGCCCCCCCCCCCCAGCTTGTTAAGCTGAGTTGAAGTCCAAAACAGCTGGAGGGCCCAAGTTTGTCCATGCCTGGTATAGCCCATGGGAAGGCTTCATTATAAAAGATTTCAACATCTATGCTTGGAAATAACTTTAACTTGAATTAGTGACAAATTCCAGAATGATCCAGTCATTCTGTTGTGTCCAGTAGAAGGGGAATATTGCTCTCTATATTGGATGTCATGGGTCACATTCCTATTTTGAATTTTCACAATATTCTGTATGTTTTCTTAATCATTTTTATCAACTAAACTCTCTGTCCTAAGAATGATGTGGGACCCTATGTGCCAAAGAGACAGGCCAACTAATCTGTTTTGCCATAAGATTCCCCTCTCTTTAAGTTTATGACATTGCACCAGAAACTTGTCAGAAACAGGAAAGCTGTTCCGTTTCCCTTTTAATATTATGCTTTGAAATGTCAATGTCATTATAACAAATAATCGTGGATGGTAACCTGAGTTTTACAGTACCATATGTAGCATTTTCTCTTTTTATTATTTCTTGGCAGTGGCAGTTTCTTATCACCCTAATTTTCTAGGAAATGCCCAAATTCTTTGGCTTTGTTTGCCAAAGGAGATAAATTGTTTTTAAATGGAAACAGATTTAACAAAAATATTTTAAAACAACAACTAAATTTTGATTACCACTTCAAAAGTAGGAATATGTAGCCTAGTCTTTGGATCATTCATGTTGGCATGTTCTGCCTATTGGAAAATATATAGGACATCTCAATGCAATTCAAAATATTCAGCTAACTCTTGGAAGTATTTCCTTCTGGCACAAAGCCTTGAGCATTTTGGATCCAGTGTAGAAATCAAACACATGAACACATATTAGGCCATTTTAGTTTTGACTTTTTAAAAGAAAAAGTGTACTGATATTCAACAAATAGCATCTTATCTTAAATTCATGGTTTGTAGCTTTTCATTCTCTTTCAGTCAAGTAGCAGGCATTCTATTATTTTGTATGTATTATTAATCAGATAATGCCTTTATGAATCAAAAATGTATATTGTATTGATTATTAAGGCATTGTCTGATAACTTTGCAGTAGACTTTGCAACCCTTTATGAATGGAAGAGTATGGGTGCAATCTCTTCAAAGCTAAGCACTGTACATCGCATTGTATTAGGAGACAGAAACATCAGTAATAGATCAGCTTAGTGAGAGAGTACATGCATTGCATGCATTGATCTTTGGTTCAATCTATGGTTTCCCCAGATATCTGAAACTCTGCAGGATTTCTGCCCATTAGTGTAGACATTACTCAACCAGATAAACTAGTGGTCCGACTCAGAATAAGACCACTTTCTTGTTTTCTTAATGTCTATCCATATCTGTCTTATCTACTTCAGTTCTTAAATATGTGCTTAATTCCATCCAGCTGAAATAGTTGAATGTCTTATTTTTCAAAAATGTTGGGATCTATCCACCAAGCATATTGTATAATTTTAAATCCTGTTTTTGCCAGATTGAAAACTTGCATGGTAACTGAAACCCAATGAATAACACATTTTATCCACACATTTGAGGATGAGAAATTATTTACTTTCTCATCCAAGTAAGAATATATATTTTTGTAAAATTCACTTCATGGTGGATATTCTTCACATCTGTGATGTTTGCTGAAGGTATATCAGTTTTATAACACTATGATATATTTGATTGCAGACCAACTCAGGTGAAGTGGCAATTGATGGTCGCTAGTTGCTACAGAAGAAGTGGTAAGCCTCTTTTCATGGCACATACCATCTTTAATGATCAGATAACCAGGGACTTGGTCTCCTGATATTTTTTGCTCTTTTCTTTAAAAGCACCCTTGTGAGTAGGGGAAGTTTCTTATCCTGCAAGTAATAATAGCTTTGGCTGGAGTGGGATGGATGCAACGTGAAGTTGGGGAAATGATGTGAAGGGCTAAATCCAGTTTTCCCAACATTGCCTGTTAAACTCTGTTTTTAATGTCCTTATCCCCAAAACTAAAGAATTTATTTTATGATATAGTATCTCTTATATGTACTGAATATTTATTTGACTCACAGGTAACTACCAAAAAGCTCTTGATACCTACAAGATGATTCACAGAAAATTTCCAGATAATGCTGAATGTAAGTTTATGGTGCAATTTTCATCACCTTTATGGAAGTTTCACATTTTGTCTTAGGGCGCAGCACACTGTAAAATTATTGTAGTTTGACACCATTTTAACTGTCATGGCTTAAGGCATGGGATCATGGGAATTGTAATTTTACAAGGTCTTTAGCCTTCCCTGTCAAATAGTGCTGAAGCATAACCAAACTACAAGTCCCAGGATTCCATAGTATTCAGCCATCTCAGTTAAAGTGGTGTCAAACTACATTGATTCTCCAGTTTAGATACACCCCTTAAGATCAAAAGTACAATTTGGATATGACAATTTAGCAGTTCTTACAATCCAACCATTATCCTTCAGTGCTATTCATAATAAACATAGAGTTATTGTCTTTTGTCCTCTGTCAGCTTTGTGGTACACAAGCCGTTCCTGCATAAATAGCGCTTCCATGTTTTAGTCAGTGGAAGGAACTGCAAGTTCCTAAGATCATTCCTTATACAAGTTGAGTATTCCTTATTCAAAACGTTTGGGACCAGAAGTGTTTTAGATTTTAGATTTTTTTCAGTTTTTGAAATATTTGCTTATACATAGCGAGCTATTTTAGAGGTGGGACCTATATCTAAATATTTGAACATAAACAGAATGAATGTAATTTTATTTATTGTTTGCTTCATTTATATCCCTCCTTTCTCACCCTGCAGTGGATTCAAGGTGGCTCATAGCTCCAGCAAAATTCAGTGCTGCTTAAAAACATAACATTAAAATCTATCCCATTAACCGAAACAATGAAAACAATTAAGCAAATAAAGCATATAGAACAATAAGCAGATAAAAACATTTTATATAATATGTTTAAATTTTTTTTTTTGCATAAAACAAAGTTTGTGTACACTCAACTATCAGAAAGCAAAGGTGTCAGTATTTCAGCCATCCATGTAAACAATCGAAGATTTTGAAATACTCTGAATTTCAGAATTCTGCATAAGGGATGCGCAGACTGTATTAGAATAAGTAGGAGGCAATGTTGGTTCTCCTTTGCTCACAAGAAACCTCATGTAGTACTTCATGAATCAATTTCTACTTTCTACAGATAGTGCCTTAGAGTGCAATCCCAGGCATATTTTCCCAGAAGCAAGTTCTGCTGTTTTATTGGGTCTCACATCCTAATAGCTATGTTTAGAAATACAGATTAAATGCAAGTGACATTTGTAAGCATTCAGTGTAAGGTATGAAACAGTGTCTTTTCAAAATTTCACCACTGTAGTTACCGAGGACTACAATATGCCTCATTTCTTTGAATGGTCAATTTTCATTTACAAAAGTGTTACAAAGAATGAGTCTGTCTGATGCCTGCTCCCAAATATTTGCTACTTTTATATCTCTGATTAAGGTTGTTCTTAGTTCACTAAAGTATGTGCCATAATACATTAATTGTTAAGGTATCACAAGTGTCTTATTTTTACTGTAGTAAAATGGTTATGGTTATTCCTCTGAAAATGGCCATTTTAAGTTGATTGATTAATTATCTGGAAAATGTAAATACCCTCTGAGCATTTTAAGATCATTTGTAATTGGATTTTTTTTACATTTAGTTCTTCTCGTGTACCATTAGACCAGCACCCATGCTACCAGTGCACATGATTTGTAACTATCATTGCTATTATAGTTACCATTCTGCATTTAGGAAAGTATTTTCTATAAAATACCACGGCTTTCTCTGTCTTCAAATGTCTTTCCTTTTCACAGCTTAATTGCTGGAGTCTGGTGCAGAAAAACTGGCTCTCTTTACAATGCTGTTATCATGTCTGCTAAATTATATTGTCACTCTATAAATACATTGGTTAAAATTCCACCCTCAACAGATCGAAATCACTGGGATTAAGTGCACTTAGCTGGATGCTGGATATGAGCCACTGTTGCTAGGCAGTGTGCTAGACTTATTTGTTCAGCTGCTTTTAAGCCCATTAATGGCCATTAATATTGCAACCATTGTACTTCTAGGTTTACGTTTCTTGGTCCGACTATGCACAGACATGGGCTTAAAGGAAACCCAAGAATATGCAACTAAGCTTAAGAGAGTGGAAAAACTGAAAGAAATAAGGGAACAGGTAGGTGGGCTGGATGATGCTAAGAAAACCCTGGTTACAGTTTATATGGAAACTATTTTTGACTTAAGTTTTAGAGGTCCTAACTCTGTCATTCTGAGCCTTGTGAAGAATGGACCATGTTGCTCTGGCAGAAGTTATGCTAGCAGCCTACCTTTGCTGTTGTTGTGTGCCTTAAAATTGTTCCCAACCAGTGAGGATCCAAAGGCAAACCCATCTCAGGGTTTTCTTGGCAAGATTTGATCAGAGGAGAGGCTGAGAGTGTGTGATTTTCCACAGGTGAATTTTTATGGCTGAGTGGGGATTTGAACTCCCGTTTCCTGGAGCCCTAGTTGAACATTCAAACCATTAATCCACAGTCACAAAATTTAAAAAGACACAACTGATTCCTGACTATTCCCACCGTAGTCACAATAGAACACATTCTCAGCTTTCTGACAGTTGTCACAGAGTTTAGGAAAGCTAATTTTTTGGACTGCAACTCACAGCTTCCCTGATTCAGCATCCCTCCCCACTTCTTATGACCAGAAATTTTCTATCCCTCCTCTTCTGACTTAAATCTCAGCACTGGCAAAATGTTCAGATATGATTGGTCAGGTCATGTGCTTATGCATGTGCATGCTCACACTTGTGCCTTTTACATATAAAGAAATGGTGCAAAAACCCAACAGTGATACACATTTCCCTTAACAATCTGAGACTAAAAGGCAATTAGATAATATTCTTAATATATTAAATATAGCTGAAAAATCAAAGTCAGTTGTGAGATTAATAATGTGCCAATTTGACAAAGTGCTACCAAGGGCAGCAGTCCTATGTCATTGATTTATTGAATAGCCTGGCTTTCCCACAGCACATGACTCAAGAGCAGTTTATAATATGTTAAAATGGAGTACAACTGGGGAAAAACCTCTGTTGCTACAAAAGTTAAAAACAATTAACAATTCTGTTAAAAACAGAGGGTTAAAACAATTTAAAACAAAATAAAAAATGGAAGCACAACACACCTTATTAAGAACAGTTTTTTCTCCAATAACTTAAAAACTAAAAGCCTGCCTAAATAAAAAGGTCTGTGCTTGCCAGCAGAAAGAGAACAGAGAGGGACTAATTGAAACTTTGATGGGAGAGAGTTCCCCAAACTTGGAGCAGCCATCAAGTATATAAATGTTATTGTGGTGGGACCTTTTTCTTTTGATAAGATTGGTGCTATTGGAAAAGACTTAAGGAGGGGCTTCCTGCTGTTTGTGCCACTTTTTGATTTATAGGACAATTTCAACAGATGCTATATTGTAACACTGAAATGTATGATCTGTGCACCTGTACTTTTTGTAGATATCTTCAGGCTTTTACTTAAAGGTATTTCTATCTTACAGCCTTAGAGCTGTATGGCCATACAAAACTTGCCTGTTTTTTATGACGCTTGCATCCTGTTGGCGTGCTGCTTTTGAAGACATTGTTGAGACACAGGACTTCTGCTGTAAATTCTGTGATTTGAAATGAATATATTGTCCACATATTTTAAGAGTTTGGAAAAGCATACACTAGGGCGTGCTTATTTAAAAATGAGCAAAGAAATGTTAGGTTTTCCTGATCACAGGACTTGTTAACTGAAAGTTCAAATTAGATGCAGGTTTGTGCAACTGATGAAATGTAGGCTGGGGGGAAAGTGCAAAGAATCCGAATCAGCCATGACATACAAATTTGTAATTATCAAATTCATCCAAATGGGAGAAAACCTTGCTGTTTACTTGAAGAAATATATTTTAAGGAACTTTTATATTATTTAACTATTTTTGTTTTAGAATCTAAACTTTGCAACAAATTAATTAAAGCCTTTAGTCTAGTGCCAAATAGGCTAGAAACATCAGAACTTAGAGGGCTACAATTTCTTTTCATGTGTTCTCTTTAAATCATTAAATGCTTCCAATAATAAAACAGTTTTGGATTTACAAGGTCTTGAGACGCAAAACATTTCTTTGAAGCCCAGTTGACGAACACTTTTAGTATTTTTTCAGCTGACTGTTTCCAGTTTTGTGTGAGGAATTTCTGTTCATCTGTCTTGTATGAACCTGCTCTAAAAGAGCATATGGTTTATTGAAATCCCCTTCCTGAACTTTCCAAATATATATGAACATTCTGTTAGAGCTGAGATTTTTATTATGTGCAACTTATAACACCATATGTTTAATTATGCCATACAGTGACAACATGCAAAGCCTATTTTAATGCTGCTTTCATTATACCTAAGAGTAAATTATATTTTTCAAAGATTTTGTAACAGGAGGTCCAACTCAATTATTTTCTCTGGAATTACTTGGAAATAAGATTGAGTCACAAATTCATCCTCATCATTTGATAATGCCCACATGCAATCTAGCATGGATGATTAGCTTCACAGTAATTCAATAATGACCCTTTCCAAGGTTACCTATTCATTTCTGCCTGTCTTGATCAGACTATCAAATGATTTATTATAATACTGGCAAAACTTAATTTACATTGGGTTGCTGTGAGTTTTCCAGGCTGGATGGCCATGTTCCAAAAGCATTGTTTCTTGACGTTTCGCCCACATCTATGACAGGCATCCTCAGAGGTTGTGAGGGCTGTTGGAAACTAGGCAATTGGGGTTTATATGTGTGTGGAATAGACAGGGTGGGAGAAAGAACTCTTGTCTGTTTGAGACAGATGTGAGTGTTTCAATTGGCCATTTTGATTAGCATCGAATAGCCTTTCAGCTTCAAGGTCTGGCTGCTTACTGCCTTATTTACATTTCATTATGATGGTAAAAGTTTTAGGTTATTTTGTATAAAAAGTGGAAATAGGAGGAACTGGGACTTGCATACTTGTAAAACCGTTACACTACTTGACAGTGTAAACAAGATATATGACTCTCAATAGACACGTCCAGGAAATCCCAGCTTCCTCTAAAAACAGTAGGGCTAGATAATAATACTTTACAAGGATTATTTTTCTGTCCTCCTTTTGTGCATCTTCACATCTAAAAAAAGAAATTATTGCTTCCAAGTTCACTTTGGTCCACCAAAAGAGGGGGAGGGGATTAATTTTAATACCTTTTCTAGTCACTCCCTGCTTAAATAATTCACTATTTGCCCAGATATGTGGATATTCTGTAAAGATTGAGAAAATTCTGGCCTGTTTATACTAAGGGAATTATATAACGAACAATCATTCCTTCCCCCCCCCCCACACACACACACACACACACACACACAAATTAGATAATATGTTGGAGATAACATGTAATCCTGGTTACAAATATTTCCAATTAATTTCTTTCATATCCACAGGCAAAAGCTTCAGCATTAAAAATTACCCCATATGAGAATTTATTATTTATTATTTATTTACAGTTCTTATATTCCGCCCTTCTCACCCCGCAGGGGACTCAGGGCGGATTACAGTAAACACATTTATGGCAAACATTCAATGCCAGTTTGACAAATAACGTTTAACAGACAAATACACCGAGGCTATTTAACTTTTTTCTGGCCGCCAGGGGAGCTGCTGCTTTTCATCGTCCATCAACGACACCGATGAAGTTCTTCCGCATTCCACATTCCCCGGAGTCCTCTTTCTTTATGGCCTCATAAATTAGTTAAATTTAGCCTCCCACACAAGGTGGTACCTTATTTTCCTACTTGACAGATGCAACTGTCTTTCAGGTTGCAAAGGTCGACAACGGGCTACACAATGGCTGGACACCCACTCCAGCCCGGGCTGGCTTCGAACTCATGACCTTTTGGTCAAAGTGATCTTAATGCAGCTGACACTCAGCCAGCTGCGCCACAATCCCGGTGCTTATAAAGGAGTTAATTATAAAGGAGACTGACTCCATTAAAGTCTTAATTTCAGAGTTGTATAATATCATAAATAACATCTTCTTTGGCAGTAGTGTAGGCTCTAGATTAGCATGGGAAAGAAACTTTAATATTTCCATATAAGTGAACAGATGAAATCTAATCTGTTCTCAAGGACCATTTTGCTCAACCTCTGTAGCTACTAAGTAACATTTACTAAAGTTAGTGTATAGATGACACTGCCATTTCAGTCAAATAACCAGGTCATGCTTCCCACACTGATGGAAATATAAATAAGAAACAGGCGCATACTTTATATGGGTGGTTTTTTTTCTTCCTACCAATCAATAGTAATGAAAGAAAAACAGATTTCCTTGGAGATCAGGTGGCATGTGAATGCAAGAAATCTATCTCTTTGTATGATCTTCATGCCCTTCAGAACTTTGCCATATACTTTGTATATGAAAAATACTATAGAAATTGTTGGTAGTGATAAAATAAACCCTGTCTGTTCCTTCTACTTCTTCCTAGCGTGTCAAGTCTGGCAGAGATGGCAGTGCTCGCGCTCGCAGAGATGGCAGTGCTAGTGGTGGTAAGTACTGCAGAAATAATTATTTTCAAGATTTACAAAAACAGAATGTGAAAATATTTTGAATATGTTTTTTTAAATCAGAAAACAAAAGGTCGCCATTATCCTTTTATCTCCTCTAGTTACATCCAGAAAAATACATATGGATAACAAACAGCAATATATTCTTCCCATCCTTGCCATCCATCCATCACTTGACATATATCCCACCTTTCTTCCAGGCTCCATAGAATTGTGATATACTTAACCTCCATAGTTTTTCACGATGCATTCAATCAAAGGCTTTGCTATAATTTGTAAAACACAGACTGATTGCCTTTTAAAGTTATCTATCACATTTGTAATATGATCCCTACTGTATCTTCCTTTCCTTGGATATCTGGAATTTCTCACTCCATATATGATAAAGGCATCACTTTGCTTTCAATGGGAAGTTAATGCTGTGGTGCTGTGTTAATCTCTGGTATCCCCTCTCTTGAGATTGGAATGTGTCTTGAGAATTTCCAAATCTGTGGGCTATGGTATAGTTTTCCACATTTATTGTCAGATTTTAGTTAGAACTAGAATACATTGTGTCTCTGGAAGAGGTTTCTTTTTCTTCCTTTTTGGTTATCTTCTATTTCTCTGCATTGGTTGTTATATTAGTTCTTGTCTCTTGTCACAAATTGTTAAACAGTGCATTCAGAGTCCTGACTTTATTTCTGTCAATGTTTACTTTTGCTTCTAGTATGTCTTCAACTTCTTGAAGTGTTGTGCATCACCCTTTGAGATTTCTCTTTCTAGTAGTTTGTTTAGTGTTCTTCTTTAGTTTTACTCTATTTTTTTTAATTAGTGGCTCATGGTCTGTGCCACACTTGGCTCCTGGCCTTATTTTTACAGAGAGAATGGAGCTTCTTCATCTTCTACTTCCAATCAGGTAGTCTATTTGATTTCTACATTAGTCACCAGATTATGTCCATATATACAGTCACTTTTTGATTGCTTGAAGAATGTGCCGAAGCCTTACAAAATGAGCCAGTTGCTTTTCTGCTTCATTTCTTGATCACAGACCAAATTTCCCTACAATTTTTTTATTCTGCTTTGTTTCCTATTTTTCACTTCAACCACCCATGATTAACAAAAAAAAAGTCCTGGTTTTATGTGTGATCAATTTCCTCTTTAATTCCAGCACAGAACTTTTCAATTTCTTTTTCTGCCTCTGTAGTTGGAGTGTAAACTTGGATTATGTTGATGAGGTTTTCCCTGAAGTCTTATTGATATGATTCAGTCAAATTTTGCAATTTGTCCTTTAAATGCTTTTGCTACATCTCTCCTCTGTTAGATCTCTTCTCACTAGAAGTGCTACCCAATTTCTTCTTAGATTTTTATTTACTGAGTAATTATCAGACTCAAAAATGTCTCATTTCTTCTGCTTTGTCTAGATTCCTCTGATTCATGCTTCTCACTTTCCATGTTCCTATAATATATAGCTTCAAAGTTAGCTTGTGCCTCTGAGCACATCAACATCTAAATGTTCTTTTGTGTCATTGGCCACAGCATTGCTCACAGTTGCTCTCTGCTGTACCCTATAACTCATTGCGCACAGGGAGTTTCATATTCTGGCAGTATCTCTTGTTTCATTTTGGACCATTTCATGGTAAAATACATTCATATGCCTTTGTGTGTGCAGTTCTAATGAGTATAAGCTACATTGTCATTGGGATTGTTTCTGAGAGATCTTCTGCCACTGCTGCAGTTGCCCAGTAGTTGTTTGGCTCATTTAGTCTGGTTCCTCAGCAAAAGCCTGTCTGACATAAGAGAACCTACCAACAACACTGTTATCAGCACCATCTCTCGCCTCACAAGAGTATGCAATTCTACCACTACAGAAAGATGGTGTCATTGTTGGAAAAACGTTTTCCATTTAAAATATATATTTTTAAATGGGTCAGCCATGTAGGGCATATGTATGAGGCTGAGGCCCTGCCACTTGCATCCTTCATTTTTCCATCCCTGCTACAGGCATTGCAAGTAATGTCCAAATGAATCTGAATATCCTGGAAAGGGAAATTACTCAGAATGTGATGACAGATGGGCTGCTTTTTGCCTTCAAGCCCATAAGCTCAGAAAGACTATTCTAGAAGGACACTTTTTGTGATATGTAAAAGAAAGCTATTCCCCCCTGCTATTTAAATCAACTAACAATCACCCTTATATACTTGAAATCTTCTTAGGAAAAATCTTGAATTTCTGGTCTGAACAAATCAGGGAGGTAAAACTGAATTAGTCTTCCTGCCACATTTAATTTTCATGAGCTATGAAAATGTTCTCCTAAAGCATAAACTGTGCTTTTTGAACTGTTTTTCTGCTGCCTGTCTGGATTTCTTAAATTCATAACGCACTAGTCATTATAGACTGCAATAAATGGATTATCATTTTGTTCAAGGGATAGGACTCAAGTTTGTCCTTGTTTTGCAAACTTGGGCAAAGAGAAGGGAATTCTATCTTTCTTACAATGGTGAACTTAGGTGGTGGTGTGTGTCTACTCAATCCTAAAATTTGAAAGTAGGAACTCTAGAGGAAATAGCTTGTTTTCTGTTGTTTTCCTTCATGCACAAACTCCTTAGTTTTCCTTTATATCTTGTCTAGAATGGATACTGAAGCAGGGGTTGGGGAGGAACTGAAATTATCTAGACAAGCCAATTCGTGTGAAGTTACCTGCTCTTCCATTTCTGTCTTTGAGCAGTGTGTGTGGATGGATGCCCCCTCTTTGCCAACTTTTTTAGTAAATGCCCAGTTCCCTTCATTCCATACCACATACTGTTTTTTAAAAAACTTTTATTCCCCTCCTACAGACTCCTTGCTTCAGAAATGTAACTTGAAAGCTCATTTACTTGGGCATACAGAACAAGTCACATCATTGTTTGGACCTAGGCCATAAAACATTTACAGAGAAATTAGAGCTCTTTCTAGTTGGATGCATTGTGCCAAGGCTTCAGAATGAAAATTATGCCCTGTGTTCCTGCAGTAATTCCTTTGCAAACCAAAGCAGCTTTCACTTTTTGGTTTGTTTTTTATTTACTTTCCAGCAGTGTGTGCCATTATTATTTGGTATTAGTATATCCCAGTTGGATTTTAAAGTATGAGGATTAAGGTCACCAATTGTTCATACAATTATTTTCATAATCCCTACTTACCACAGTGATTACTCTAGCAATAATATTACCTCAATAAGCAAAAGCAAGTCCAAATCAAGAACCTATCCTATATTTACTCCTGAATTTTGCTCAAACAAGCTGTGATAGGAACACTAAATATTACTTCATACTTCCTAAAAGAGATAGAGGTTATAGAGTGTCATCCATTCCACACTGGTCCTTTGAATGTCAGGTTTTTTTCTGCAAAAAGTGGGCTATGAGTATCTTGGGGCTACTAATCTAATTATTTTTGCAGGTTGATGAGCTCAGTGCTGAGAGTTATTAGGCAAAGGCAGCAGAAATTTCAGGGTTCCCAAAGTGCTGATACAATAACAGACCTTGTTCTAGTGATGGTATCCAATTCTGCGACATGGGAAAAAACAACCTTTGATTTGATGCAACCTGTATAGATCCAATTTTGTTTCTATTCAAGCCGAACTTATTTGCTGCCATTGCATTTGTCAGGAAAATATTCCATAATAAAACCACATATAAATTGTGTTTGAGATTGTATATTCCTTGCCAACTTAACATAGGCAGAAAATAGTTCCATAGAATTTTGCTTTATTGTTCTTTGCCTGTCATCTTTGCAGCTTTACTACTGTCTATCATTCTGTCTTTCAGTGTGCTGTCATCTTGGTTTCCTTTTTATATTTTCGTTGTCTTTTCTTTCATTTTTACTTTCCATTCTTTAGCTGCCCTCTCTCCTGAAAGTGGGCATAATTCAGTCCCCAAAGTGGTAAGAGGTCAGTGCAATTTCTCTAACTGGCTTTAGAGAAATTTGGTATGTTTAAAGTGTGAATATTTTGAGTACTTTACAAATATCTGTGTTGTTTGTATTTGATATTTTAATTTTGATAGTATTTTTAATTTGTTTAATCTGTGTTGTAAATCATTAATTCATGTAAGAATACAGCGGTGGTTCTGAGAGTAGCGATGCCAATTGAAATCTGGCATTTAAACTAGCATTTAAAACCAAATGAAGTAGCTTAGCTTCATGTTAGAGAAAATGGCTGAGATCCTGCATCAGCAGACAAGGTTAAGTCAGTGGAGTTCCATCATTATACAGCTACTTCTACTGATAATGCGCCACCAAAATTCTTAATCTAGGCAGCAGCACTCTGACCAGCAGATTCCCATGGCACTGGGAAATGGCTGTTATCTCCAGGTCACAGGGTTTGTTGAGACAAGCAAATGAAAAGAGCATGTCAACTTGCCTCGCATTTCAGAGACCACTGCTGCAGTCATAGTTTTTCAGTGCCCTGATTCATAGAACCTCAGAAATCGTCTGGCTAAGACACTGTCTGATTGAGGTAGTTGGTTTTAGAACTCTCATGCAGTCATTGAATGTACATTTCAATATAATTGTGAATCTCAAAAGTTGCAAGATTGTAAATCTGACATACAGTCTCAAAAAAATTAAGTAGAATGCCAACCAACATATTTAGACATATTACCGGTTGCCCAGCAGGAAATGGCTCAAGATATTTTGTCTTCCTTTCTTCTGCTTCTACACTCCATAGCATAGGAGGACAGAACAGCCTTAGTAAAGACTGCATTCTGGGCTTTTGTTTTATATGAACACAAGGATTACAGTGGGGGAAAACAGGTAGAAAACCATAGCTAAGTGACATGACAGCGTTCAATCGCTTGTGTTCCTGAAATATCAACCCCGGTTCATATATATTCTTTCATAGATCATAATTTCCTATTTTAGCAGGAAGGACTTAAATTTTGGATTCCTGATTAAACTGTAAATAGGAGAAGTAAATCTATCCTCATCGAACCTCATTCTAAAACCTAATATAAGCAATTAATACTGTAATTATGTTGGAAAGGAATATCTTTTATCATTTACCTGATATCTTATTAAACATTTTCTCTGTCCTGTCAGATCCTGGTAGCATTACTGTTAAAGGGGAACGTCTGAATGCTAAACTGATGTCTTTGCCAGGGACAAATGAGCCGTATGAAAGCAGTGTTAGTAAAGAAATAGGTACGTAAGGTGTCTCATAGCTTGCTTTGATGCCCTTGGGAGAACTCAGGCAATAGGTAAAGGTGTATATTTTCATATCATTTGTGCAATTCATTTCTATCATGAAAAATATATTCTATGAAACTTCATAGAGGAACATCGAAAAATATCTAAAATACTTGTTAACTGTATTTTAACTAGTATTTTGATTTCGTAGGCTCATGATCTTCAGTCTGGTGCATATTTACTTGCTATTCAATATTTCTATCTAAAGATGAACAAGATTGTTCTATACATGTCCCAATTGCACTGTAGTGCCATTCAGAATAAAAACATGTTTGTGGCAATTTGATTATGGCTTGCTCAGTCCAGTGGTGGTAAAGGGTTCCCTTTTGCAGCAGCAAAGTGCCTGAATGTTAAGAGAAATTGAACCAAGACGAAAAAGAAGGCAGAAGTCCATAACTGAAGAAGAGGAGTAAGCAGGATAATATCACAGATGGAAAAACTTCTGCAGTTTAGTAGGATTTGGCACAAAAATGTTACAGTTTGAGAGTTTCAGGCCACTCCTGGCTGTAAAACAAGAGCGAGAATTATGCAGCTCTTCAAATACTGTCAAACTGAAATGCGCAACAGCTCTAGCTATCTTAGCCAATGGTTAGAAATGCTGGGGATACAATCCAATAGTATCTGGAAGGCCACATAATTCCTGCACTTACTTTAAAAGAATTTTTTTTATTATTGTGTGATTGTTAAAAGAGAATTCATATTCTTGGGGGTGAACTTACAATTTGATTTTCTTCTGTTTTCCTTCTTTCCTCCCTCCCTTCCTTCCTTTTTCACATGTAGATGCCTCCTATCTGGACCCACTTGGACCCCAAGCTGAGAGACCAAAAACTGCACTAAGGAAAAAAGTGGATGAAGATGAATTTGCGGATGAAGACCTAGGAGATGATTTGCTTCCTGAATAAGTAGCCTGTTGCTGTTGTTAAAAAATGAAAAAAGGAAAGAAAGCAATTTCTAACTGTTTTTTTTAAGTTTATGAAAATTCCTGTATTTATTTTAGCACTGTTTAATCCAACTACAGATTTTGAGTAAACATTTTTTATAGTAAGAGCTTGATTGTTGCGTCCGTATCTCGTTGACAATCAGCACTGGTTTCTGTTCTACTTTATTTCTCTCTCATATATGTCCACCCATGATCCTTAAAGGGAAATGACAAGGAAAGATGTCAGTGCACAGTCTGAAGCTGAAACACTGTCCACGACCATAGACTTGCACATATTGGTAGTAGTCACGTATATCAGTATTCATGTAAATTGCCTGTTTGCATTGATTTTCATAAAGCGGTTTCTTCCATTGAAGACCAGCCCCTTGGCTATTTCTACGTGGCAAGTGGCTAGCATTATGCCTTTGCCCAAATACATGTTTGAGTGTGAAAGCAAACCATACATATCAGGAAAAAAAATATGTGTAAAGCAAGACAAACTAGAAGACCTAACAATTGTGTATTTGCAGCTTGTTGCTAAAGGATGAAAGAGACTTTTCCCCCTGGAAAGAGAGTACCACCTCTCCAGACATTTTGACTTTCATCTCTCATAATACGTCAACATTGGCCACTTTATTTCAGGTTAATAGCTGTTTTCCAAAATATATGGTTGGGAAAAGCTGACCTGTAGTGAGATTTATGAAAAAGGGAAAAGTACTAGATGTTTTCTTAGCAGTGATTTTAAAATAATGCAGCATTTGACAATATTTAGAATATTAATTGACCTAATCATATTTGATAAACATTGCTGTCCTGCCTCATCTTTGACAGTCCTGCCAGAATGAGAGTCCAGAATGTCTTAGGCCGGTGGCTTGCACATTGAACCTATTGGTTTGCATCATGCTAACTGTGACAAAATGCTTTCTAATTCTTCAGCCTATATCCTATTGTTCGCCAAACTCTGGACCAGATCAATTGGATTTACTTAGATCAGAGGTCCTCAAACTAAGGCCCAGGGGCCAGATATGGCCCTCCAAAGTAATTTACCTGGCCCTCGCTCAGGGTCATCCTTAGTCTGAAACGAAAGGACACAGCAACAACAACAATCCTATCTCATCAGCCAAATGCAGACCCACACTTCCCATTGAAATACCAATAAGTTTATATATTGTTATAATTGTTCTTCATTTTAATTATTGTATTGTTTTTAAGTGTTTTTTGCACAACAAATAAGATATGTGCAGTGTGCATAGGAATGCCTGTTTTTTTTTTTCAACAGTGTGAGGGACTGTGACCTGGCCCTCTGTTTAAAAGGACCCCTGACTTAGATGTTGACTCAACATTCAATAATTCATTTAATTGCCCTGCTCTATTTGAGGTTGATTGATAGAATTCCAGCCATTGAAACCAACTATGTAATTGGTGCCATTTCCGCACACCTTCTCCTAGCTGTCAAACAGTCTTTCTTCTCTATATAGTTCTTGTCCATATCGGTAAGAGAATGACGGCATATTGCATGCCTGTTATGAAGCATCTAGTAAGGTTCACCTGCACCAAGTTATGATTTCATCAGTGTACTGTTTTCCAGATTTTGAAGTTAGAGGTTTGAATAGAAAGTCAGAGCTGATCTGAAATGTTCTTTAAAAAAAATACTTTCCATTTGGTTGAATCATGACTTTGATATATCATGGAAATCTCTACACATTTCATTCCTCTGCTTACTGAATCAGGTTTTTAGCTGTAAGCAGAAAATGCACTTGGAGTCAGATCCAGTGCAACAAACCTTTGGGGAATCATAAATTATGTGTTTGCTTCTCCTGTGAGTTAACAAAACTCCTTTCAGTTTGTAGAGGCCCCTTGTTTTCCTTTCTGCATTTCTGTCTGACTTATTTATAAAAGGCTCGAAGTTTGAAAGTGACACTATGGAGGAAAATCCAAATACCTCCTTTTTGTTTAAATAATCTGAATGCTTGTTTGCTAGAGCTGATTCACCATACACTGTTTTACCTTTTGAACAAAAAAAATAAGCAAAATTGAGAATAGGACGTATTTCTTGTTAAAACCACATTTTAGAAAGAAGGGAACATAACATACCCAAGAAGAGCAACATTTGACTATTTGCTACTTTGAACCCAGGAAGCGGGGTGAGCTTTTGTCTGTTAGCTCCAGCTTCCCATGTGGGGAAATGAGAGAATCCTACCACAGGATGGTAAAATATCCAGGCATCCCTTGGACAATGTCCTTGCAGATGGCCAATTCTCACACCAGAAACAACTTGTAGTTTCTCAAGTTGCTCCTGACATGAAAAAATGTATATAATTGTTACTTAGTTATTATCCTGACTCTTCCAAAGGATTTGGGGTCAGCTTCCAGTAAAAGCAGCTAAAGAAATAAAAGATAGATAATAAAAAGATGTATGGTAAAATGGGCTGAAAATTTTAAAAGACCAATAGCAATGTGTGATTGGGAAATTATGTGGAAGAAAAAACTCAAGTACACCTATGCAATGGATTTAAAGGAAAATTGGATGAAAATGTTTCATAGGTGGTACATGACTCCAGTAAAATTAAATTGCATGTATAAGAATGTATCGAAAAATTGCTGGAAATGTAATGAACACGAAGGGACTTTTTTTCATCTATGGTGGAGCTGTAGAGAAACTCAAAAATATTGGAAAATAATACACGAAGAAATGCAAAAAATATTCAAAAAGAACTTCCCAAGAAAGGCTGAATACTACTTGCTGGGAATTACAGATGATGACATTAAACTGGACTCTAACGAGGACATTTTATTTGTATACTTGACAACAGCTGCCAGAATTGTCTTCGCCAAAATGTGGAAACAGAAGGAAATACCAGGAAAACTCCACTGGACAGACAAAATAAGTGAAATAAAAGATATGGATATATTAACTTTTTTATTAAAGAAGAATACAGGTAATGTAATTAAAGAGACAAATTGGTCAATTGTTGAAGAGTACATAGAAACAACACATCAATCTATACAAAGAACTTGAGGACATTGGATGACAAGTTATGGAACTTATTAGATATAAGACGAAAGTTATTGGACGCGCTGAATCAGAAGGGAGTCCACTTTTTGTTTTCTTTTTTCTTTTTTGTCTTTTTTAAATTTTTGTATTTTTGTAGTTTTGACTCTTTGATTTTTTTGATTTTTCTTTTTTGGATTTTTTCCTTTTTTAAATTTGGTTTTTGGTGTGTATTTTTTTTCTTTTTCCCCCTTTTTTCTTTTTCTCCCTGCTTTTTTCTCTTCTTTCCCTTTCACGGGTATCAGGGTAGGGGTATTTTCCTACTTTTCTATCTTCTTATATTATTCCCCCACTTTCGCTGTATTATAAAAAACTCAATAAAGAATTATATTAAAAAAAGAAATAAAAGATAGAAATAGCTTAATATTTAAAATTAGCTTATATACCCAGTGTTACTCCAGTCCATTCCTTAGAAGAAAAAAAACAATTGTTAGCTTTTTAAACAATTTATTTGAAAAATAACACTTCACTTTTACACTTGTTCAGTTGTCTCATGTGCTTGCAGTAATATAATTTTCTTTGGTTTTGGAGAGAGTTCTATGGGATTGAATTTGTTTTTGGCATTACGCAGCCACCTTGATAAAAGAAGCACAATTATTCACCATGTTGAAGCAAAAGCAGTACTTTTTTGTCCTTCAGGTACTGACCTCACCTTACTAATATAAGTCTCCATGGCATCTTTCTGGTATTGACAGCTGCTTCTTTCTCACTGTTAAGTTTTTGATCACATTATTCAGTTGTAATTCCCATCTGACCAAGACCATGGCTAGCTTCAAATTCCCTTCAGCTCCAGATCTAGCCAGGCTTCAACTCCCATCAGAGTCATATTTGGGCTGCAACTTGTGGCTTCCTCTTAACCAGTCAGATGGCTCAGCCTCCTTAGTGAAAAAGTAAGATTGTTGGAGAATGCAGCCTGGGAAGTAGGCTGAGCCATCTGACCAGTTTGGAGGAGAGCAGTGCCTTAGGTCATAGGTGGAAGTGACACTCAGGATATGCTGGACTACAACTCCCATCATCCACTATCAAACACACACACACACACCGACCCCGCCAGTATTTTTGTTGGATCATGAAAGGTGTCTGGTCCAAATTCATCAAGCCATGTAAGAATTTTTGTGGTTCAATCATGCACATTTATCAATTAAAAAGAAAACCATTTAAAACTGGTTAAAACAATTTTAAGTAGTAGAACCATAAGATATGTGCAGCCTGAATAAAACCAGTTATGCCCAAAGGCTGTAATAAAAAAACAAAGTTTTGAACTGATGCTGAAATGATGCCAATGTTGGCATCAATTGGGCCTCCAGTGGGAGAGATTTTCACAACTGGGGTTCTACTGCAGGGAAGGCCTTCTCCCATATCCTCCCACAATGCCATATATCAATGAGAGCACCATGATCCTCACCTCTCCTCTGAGATTCAGCCATTCATGTGTACAGTCTCTGCCCTGGAGTGCAATGGAGGCTCCTTTGGAGGCTTTTAAACAGGCTAGATGGCCATCTGTCAGAAGTGCTTTGAATGCGATTTTCCTGCTTCTTGGCAGAGGGTTGGACTGGATGGCCCACAAGGTCTCTTCCAACTATGATTCTAAGAGATACACAAACAAATGAAGCAAGATGTCAAAGCAACAGGTCAAACACAGGGATTGCAATACTCTGCTCTCACCAGAGTTACCCTAGTTCTTCCCACTAATCCCTGCCCTTCACCCAATGATTCTGGAGATGTACAACACAGAGTTAGCCCACACTCCCACTGTGAGAGATACTATAGTCCCAGTCTCTGCCTCTCACCAGGTCCATTCTCTGACCATGGAGGATTGGTGCCCTGCTCCATGTCTCCCCAAAGTGATGACACAAAGTATCATGGTCCATTATTTCCCAGTTTTAAAAGTTCGTTTTGCTTAAGTTTTGCAGGCAGAGACAAATGATGACACAGTGAGATGGCATTTATTTTACTTCTCAATTCTGACCTCGCTCTCCCTATTTTAATAGATTCTGAGGAAGAGCAAATATTCAGTTACAGAATACACATGCTCAGGGACCAGAGACATTTCCTTCTTGAGTTTATGTCTGTCATAATTGACTTTATTAGGCTGGATAGGCTGAACAGTCTGACTTAGGTTCCTCTATTTCTGAGAAAGCATTATCTAAAGTGGAGGGATGCTTCCCAAATGTACCCATATAATAAAAGATTAACAGCAGTGCTGGCACCAGAGTCCATTTTGTAATGTTGGGGAAGTTCTCAATTACTCAATCATACTGGAATAAAAGCATTTTGATCTCCTGCTAGGATTATGGAGAGCTCATTTTCCACCTCTTTCCTCATTTCCCCTTCTCCATTACAATAAATAGCCCCTGCCAAGGAATCTGTCCCTAGCCAGGACTTATTTCATTGGGTTGTTGTAGGTTTTTTCGGGCTATATGGCCATGTTCTAGAGGCATTCTCTCCTGACGTTTCACCTGCATCTATGGAAAACATCCTCAGAGGTAGTGTGGTAAATAAATAAATATCCAAAGTTGATCTAAAGTTGACCAAAAATTGATTGGTAACCCTTTTGGTACTTATGTTGGAGAGTGGTCCCTGGTCAAAGTAGGCCCTGGTCAAAAAAAGGTTGGGAACCACTGCCCTAAACCAATAGTTCAGCTCCTCTGGCAGGAGCCCCAGTAGTGCAATGGGTTAAACCCTTGTGACGGCAGGACTGAAGATGGACAAGTTGGAGGTTCGAATCTGGGGAGAGCATGGATGAGCTCCCTCTGTCAGCTCCAGCTCCCCATGCAGTGACATGAGAGAAGCCTCCCATAAGGATGGTAAAATATCAGAAACACCTGGTTGTCCCGTTGGCAATGTTCTTGCAGACAGCCAATTCTCTCACACCAGAAGCGACTTGCAGTTTCTCAAGCCGCTCCTGACACACACACATAGAAAACCTGTATTGTCGAAGGCTTTCATGGCCGGAATCACTGGGTTGTTGTAGGTTTTTTCTGGCTGTATGGCCGTGGTCTTCTAGAGGCATTCTCTCCTGACGTTTCACCTGCATCTATGGCTACCAGTATTAAAAAAACTCTAAAATTACAACAGCACAACAACAGAGAGGAAACAAACAAGGACATCTCATCACCCCTCAACAAAAGTTGGCTCCAGGCACTGTCAGGCCATTATATGCTAATCAAGGTGATCAGTTGAAACATTCACACCTAGCTCCAGCAGACAAGAGTCCTTTGTCCCACCCTGGTCATTCCACAGATATATAAACCCTTTCCCCTAGTTCCAACAGACCTCATTACCTCTGAGGATGATTGCCATAGATGCAGGTGAAATGTCAGGATAGAATGCCTCTAGACCATGGCCATACAGCCCGAAAAAACCTACAACAACCCATACAAAACCTGCTCTGCCTCTTCATTTCCTTGTTCTGAGTTCATCTAGACCAGGCATGACCAACTTGGGCCCCCCAGGTGTTTTGAACTTCAACTCCCACAACTGAAGTTGAAGTCCAAAACACTTGGAGGGCCCAAGTTGTCCCATGCCTGGTCAAGGCATCCCTCTGCCTTTGGGGCCTCCTGAGGTCTCTCGTGGGAGCTGCTCAGGTTCTCTCCTCCGCCCTCCAAAGAGGGAGGGAAGCGTCCTCCTTGCAGGTGCCAGCCTCTCCTCCCGGGACCCCCCTTCTCCTTCTCCTTCTCCTTCTTCCTTTCCATGCTTCTGGCAGAGTCCAGGCCGAAGGGGCGACGCCGGGAGAAGCGGGGCGCCCTTCCAACTCCCCCTCGCTCGCTCTCTGGCTCCCTCTCCGCCTCCGAAGAGAAGGAAGAGGACACCCAGCAGCCCCTCAGTCGCCACCGCCTCTGGCCTCCGTTGCCGGGCACCATGCCGCCGGGGAAGGTGAGTCCGATCCCCACCTTTCCTTTCGCCCCCTTTCCCCAAAAGAAGCGCCACTTGGGTCCTCTCCCTTCGCGCTGAGCGGCTCTGAAGTTTGGGGGGAGCCCTCGTCCCGGGAACGGAGCCCCAAAGGCAGAGGCGAGGTACGGGGCGCCTCTCTCTCCTCACCTGCCTCGGGGAGGAGGAAGGCCAGGGAAAGGAAAAGGGGGAAAGGAGAGACTCCAGGCGCTGAAGGGTCCCTGCAAAGGGAAGGGACTGGCCAAGCCACCAAATGTTCTTCTTGAAGGCAGAGGAGGGAAAAGGACGTTCAGGTTACAGGTGGAAGCTCCTTCTTTTGAGGCTTTTAAACAGAGGCTGGATGGCCATCTGTCAGGGTGCTTTGAATGCAATATTCCTGCTTCTTGGCAGGGGGTTGGACTGGATGGCCCATTAGGTCTCTTCCAACTCTATGATTCTATGATTCTAGGTGGAAGAGGACAGGGTTCAGTTGTGCACCTTCAAGGCGTTTCCAAGCCATGGTCACTCTAAGGCAGTGCTTCAACAGAGGCTGGATGGTCATCTGTCAGGGGTGCTTTGAAGGTTTCTTGGCAGGGGGTTGGACTGGATGACCCATGACAGACATGTAGCGGGGGGGGGGGCTGAGTGGCTCAGGATGGTCTTACTGGTATATTATTTAAACTGTTATGTTTATTCATATCATGATCTGATCACCATGCTCAATATATGCCATATGCATGGGGGTTTTGAGATAATGATACAAAAGGTTTACTAGGATAGATCCTGACCCCCCCCCCCGAACCCTCAGTCCCCCCCCCCAAATTAAACTCAGCCCCTCCCCCCAAATCAAAATCCTGGCTACAGGCCTGGCCCATGAGGTCTCTTCCAACTTTATGATTCTATGATTCTCAACCTTCCTAATGCCGCAACCCCTTAATACAGTCCCTCATGTTGTGGTGACCCCCAACCATAACATTATTTTCATTGCTACTTCATAACTGTAATTTTGCTACTGTTATGAATCGTAATGTAAATATCTGATATGCAGGATGTATTTTCTTTCACTGGACCAAATTTGGCATAAATACCCAATACGCTCAAATTTGAATACCGGTGAGGTTGGAGGGGGGATTGATTTTGTCGATTGGAAGTTGTAGTTGCTGGGATTTATAGTTCACCTACAATCAAAGAGCATTCTGAACTCCACCAATGATGGAATTGAACCAAACTTGTCACACAGATCTCCCAAGACCAACAGAAAATACTGGGAGGGTTTGGTGGGCATTGACCTTGAGTTCTGGAGTTGTAGTTCACCTACATCCATAGAGCACTGTGGATTCAAACAATGGTGGATCTGGACCAAACTTGGCACAAATAATATGCCCAAATGTGGACACCAATGGAGTTTGGGGAAGCAGACCTTGACATTTGGGAGTTGTAATTGCTGGGATTTATAGTTCATCCACAATCAAAGAGCATTCTGAACCCCACCAATGAGATAATTGGGCCAAACTTCCCACACAGAACCCCCATGACCAACAGAAAATACTGTGTTTTCTGATGGTCTTTGGTGACCCCCCTCTGACATAATGTAAATTTCAGCCCCATAGACCCATCAGGATGGGCAGTGCTAATTTGGAACCAAGGATGGAAGTGTACATTGCCAACAGCACCTATTTTGGGGTGTCTCTGTGTATGTCTTCCTTCAAGTCACTTGTCAACATGGCAATTTTATAAATTTCATGGCAATTATACAATTTTTTTCTTAAGCAAGGAATATTGAGAGGTGGCTTGCCATTACTTTCCTCTTTAACCAAGTAAATATTGGGTTGGATCTGGAGGGTATCACACTGGTAGTAAAGTCAGCCAGGCTTCAATCAACTGGCAAAAAGGGGGCACAGTGTTCGTGTAAACAGAGCTTCTCTGGAAGGACTGTTCCAGAGTTGAGGCACAATAATCAAAAACGTTCCTTATCTTTGAAGTGAGAAGGTTGCTTTAAGCAGAAAACCAGGGGATGCCCTGAAAAAGCAGCAAATGGTTGTTTGTTTATTTCCTTATAACTGATTTTTTTTACTACTGTTTATATTTAATTCTGTTTCAGTAGTTGCATATTTATATATTCTAAATTGCATGCTAATGCTTTTATGTTAAGTCATTTTGAGTCTCCTTCTGGAGAGGTGAAGCTGTGTATAAATAATAATAATAATAATAATAATAATAATAATAATAATAATAATAATAATATCAGAGGCACAACTCTGTGGCCCAAATGATTCATTGCAACGTATGTCACAAGTACCACCTGCCAGCAGTAAAGAACTGGTGGGATCACAAACATGTAAAGGTAGTGGGAAATGAACACGCAAAAATACTGCAGGACTTTTGAATTCAGACTGAGAAAGTTTTGGAACACAATACACCAGACATAACAATTGTGGAAAATAAAAAAGTTTGGATTATTGATGTTGCCATACCAGATGACAGTCAAATTGAGGAAAAACAACAGGAAAAACTCAGCCGTTATCAGGAACTCAAAATTGAACTGCAAAGGCTCTGGCATAAACCAGTCCAGGTGGTCCCAGTGGTAATCGGCACACTGGGTACTGTGCCAGAAGATCTCAGCTGGAAACAATAAACATGGACAAAATCACGATCTGTCAACTGCAAAAGACCACCTTACTTTGATCTGTGCACATCATTCGAAAATACATCACACAGTCCTAAATGCTTGGGAAGTGTTCGACTTGTGATTTTGTGATACGAAATCCAGCATATATATGTAATTTGCTGTGTCATACTGTGTTTTTGTGTCACAATAATAATAATAATAATAATAATAATAATAATAATAATAATATGCCTAGTGCCAATTAGGAGCAGGAGTTCCTATGTGATCTTCCTGCTTCTGGTGCCCAAATAACAATTTGGCAACAGGAATTACTCCCAGCATTAAAGTAGTTGTACTTGTTTTCTTCCCTCAAATGTTAAATTGTTTCTTGAAGCCCCTCATCTCTGTCTTCTTCCATTCATTACAGGTATGGCTGTTAGCTTGGCTTCTCTTGTGTTGGCTGCCTTTCCCTGGTTTGGAGACCATCAAGGTCCACAAGCGGCCAATGCGGACCCGGACCTGTGCCGACCGACCCGAGGAGCTCCTGGAGCAGCTGTATGGCCGGCTCAGCGCAGGGATGCTCAGTGCATTCCACCACACCCTGCAGCTGGAGCCCCTGGAGAAGGAGCACAACATGAGTTGCCCAGCAGGAGGAAGGCCGGCTACAGACAAGAAGTACCGCCTGCCCATCAACCTCAACAGTGTCTCCCCTTGGTCCTATAGGTAACGGCAACTCCATTCACTTCTTCCTTTTTAACATTCCTTTTTAACATTCTAAAGTATTGTCGAAGGCTTTCATGGCTGGAATCACTAGGTTCTTGTAGGTTTTTTCGGGCTATAGGGCCATGTTCTAGAGGAATTTCTCCTGACGTTTCGCCTGCATCTATGGCAAGCATCCTCAGAGGTAGTGAGGTCTGTTGGAAATAGGAAAATGGGTTTATATATCTGTGGAATGACTGGAGCTCTCTGCTGAAGCTAGGTGTGAATGTTTCAGCTGACCACCTTCATTAGCATTTGAAGGCCTGGCTGAGCCTGGGAAAATGTTCTGTTGAGAGGTTCTAAAGTAGTTTGTTCAACTAAAGTCTTTTTGGTGGGTTGGTGTGTGTATGGCCATGTTCCAGCAGCATTCTCTCCTGATGTTTCGCCTGCATCTGTGGCTGGCATCTCAGAGGTTCTGTGTTTAAACTTAACTGTGTTTAAAAGGATCAATGACATAGTGATTGTACTGCGGTTCTCATAATCTCAGTTGCAACTTATTAGTCATTCCTGGAGTTTGAAAGGGAAAATGAGGTATGGATGTACCAGGCACAGATGCAGGCAAAACATCAGGAGAATGTTGCTGGAGCATGACCATACAGCCTGAAAAACTCACAACAGCCCAGTGATTCCTGGCCAAGAAAGCCTTCAGCAACATATGTATTCTTTTCTTTCCTCTCAGTCAGTACCACTCAGGCTATCAAAGTCAGGTGTAGCCATTTCTGCTTGCCCCATTGTCAGCACTGCAAGAAACTACACCAGGCCCTCCTCTCTCTCACCATCCTATCCTTCCTTTCTTCCCTCTTTCTCCTTCTATCCTTCCTTACTTTCCATCCTTCCTTCCTTTCTCCTTTAGTCCTTCCTTCCCTCTTTCCTCCTTTCTTCCTTCACTCCCTCTTTCTCCTTCCTTCCTTCCTTCCTTCCTTCCTTCCTTCCTTCCTTCCTTCCTTCCTTCCTTCCTCCCTCCCTCCCTCCCTTCCCTCCCTCCCTCCCTCCCTCCCTCCCTCCCTCCCTCCCTCCCTCCTTCCTTCCTTCCTTCCTTCCTTCCTTCCTTCCTTCCTTCCTTCCTTCCCTGAGATTGCTTCTAATTTAGAAAAAGTTCGATTCCCTCTTATAATATTGTGAATTAAAAGCAGCATTTGAATGACTGACATAATGTACCTTTTACAGGAAATGCAAATATTGGCTTTTTAGTAACCACTAGGGAACATCATGTTTTTTGGCTTGTTTTATGTTTGGTTTAGCTTAAAAACAAAACAAAATGCTGAAATGAAAATAGCCCTTTCTCAATAGGGCTCCAGAAATTGAATATGTATGTTCATATATTTAGAAATGTTGGTTATAAGGGCAAAAAATCACATGCTAATTTTCTGTACAAAAATTCCACAAATGTTGACATGTCCAAAATATACTTTGCCTCACTCATTCCAATATATTCCACCATTGTAAGGTCAGAACCCAGCCCTGAACTGCATTTGAGAAAACAACAAAATCCAGTGCAGGTGCAATTTTGCCTCCCCATTGCAGCCCTTTATGAAACTCAAACACTTTTTTGGGAGGGCTGTGAAACTCTCTGGAACTGATTTTCAGGAAACTTTGAAGGTTGCAACTTCTCATGTGCTGCCAGAATCACCTACGATGGACGTCATCGCCTTTCTTCAGGCACTTGATAAGCTGGTAAAAGTCAACAATGAAGAAGGAGAGCACACTTGTCTCTTTCCACCCTCAATCACTTTCCAAGCAGGACTTCCCATGTGGAGTAGTAAGTCTCTGCTACATGAAATCAACGATGGAAAGCAATAGTGGAAAGAAGGGTGGCCTAGCACATGTGTTGAGTATAATTGGTACTTAAAACCTGAATAGTTTTCTTGGTATCCACTGAAAAGGGAGGTGTTTCAGCCCAGATTCATTAAAGCACTGGTTCTCAACCTTCCTAATGCTGCAACCCCTTAATACAGTTCCTCGTGTTATGGTGACCCCCAACCTTAACATTATTTTTGTTGCTACTCCATAACTGTAATTTTGCTACTGTTATGAATTATAATGTAAATATCTGATATGCAGGATGTATTTTCATTCACTGGACCAAATTGGGCACAAATACCCAATACACCCAAATTCGAATACTGGTGAGGTTGGGAGGGTTGATTTTTGTCATTTGGAAGTTGTAGTTGCTGGGATTTATAGTTCACCTACAATCAAAGAGCATTCTGAACTCCACCAATGATGGAATTGAACCAAACTTGGCACACAAAACTCCCATGATTAACAGAAAGTACTAGAAGGGTTTGGTGGGCATTGATCTTGACTTTTCGAGTTGTAGTTCACCTACATCCAGAGAGAACTGTGAACTCAAACAATGATGGATCTGGACCAAACTTGGCACAAATATTCGATGTGCCCAAATGTGCACACTGGTTTGGGGAAAATAGACCTTGACATTTGGGGGTTGTAGTTACTGGGATTTATAGTTCAGCTACAGTAAAAGAGTATTCTGAACCCCACCAATGATAGAATTGGGCCAAACCTCCCACATATAATCCCCATGAACAACAGAAAATACTGTGTTTTCTGATGGTTTTTGGCAATCCATCTGACACCCCCTTGTGACCCCCAGGTTAAAACATGTTCCTGACTTCTGTAATAAATAATAAGAGGTAGCGTGCTCCTTCCTCAAAATGACTAAAATTCTGATTTGAAGTAAGAAAATCTCCTCAGATCAGCACCTATTGAAAAGTGGCTTTGTGTGAGGTTGCTTTTCAGTAGATGCTCTCCTTCCTCTCCTTTATTTATTTTTAGTATTTATACCCCGCCTTTCTCACTCCGATGGGGACTACAAAGTACACACATACAGCAAACATTCAATGTGGATTATACACTTAACAAGGACAGACAAACACAAACAGAGGTAAAGGCATCTTGGGGGCATCTTATTTCTGGCATCTTGGAGGCTGTGCTCGACTCTGGCCATGGTGCTGTTGCTCCATCTTCCATGCTGAGAAGATTTCCTCCAATTGATCAATGTTCTTTATTACCTCCCCACTAAAAGTATTTATCTACTCATATTTCTGATTTCAACCTGCTAAGTGGGCAGGTGTGCTGGGGCTAATGGCAGGTGCTCACCCTGAACCGGGATCGGCACGATTTTTCTTCAGCACAGTAATTTAACCTGCTGTGCTAAGCCTAGCCCTTTTTACTTATTACAATCACAATTTATTGATCTACTAATCCAAAAAAAGTATCATCTGTATCTCTAAGCCGTTTGCAATGCAAAATACAGACTTTGCAATGCAAAGTCAGAAACCACAGCATAAAGGTTTGGCAAAATAGGTGCAAGCTCTCAAAATCCAGAAAGCAATGCTGAAAAGTTCACATCTTTTCTTCTAATGAGTGAGGGTCTTCCTGGAACAGTTGGATACCAGAGATAACATGTGGCACGATCCCTTTCTCTTTTTGAGACGAGCTGTACCCCTTTCCATTACAATGGCTCTTTCTCCTGTCCAGTTGCGTGTCTCCAGATTTCCAGCTGTGGCTTTTGCCTGGCTCTGTTTCCCTTCAGCATAGGCCTCCAGCTTCCTCTTCTTCTCCTTGTTGACTAGTTCCCCAGCTTTCCCTTATGATATCATCTCCAGATGTCATTAACCTGCTCTGCTTTGAATTCAAGATTATTAATACTGATGATGGTAAATAAATCCAGACCTAAATACGTCCCTCTGGACAACCAACGCTCTGCTTCATAGATAATAACTTATCATTGTGCTTTGTATACAGTCTTGTAGACCATCTTGCGAGCACACACAACTGAAATATTTCACTGGAGAAATTCAAGGCATCTGTTGAAGTCTACATGTGGAATTGTCATGATGGGCCAGATCTGACTTAAGGCTTTGGACTTGTAATCTAGGAGTAAGGAGTATTACCTCTATGTATATAGTCGGATACACTGCATTGCAACTCTTGGCCTATTCAGTGGATTGCTTTGGATTTAGTTTTGCATGTCTACAAGATAGAGGAGCTGAGACATTGATAAGGTAAAGGTTTTTCCCTGACATTAAGTCCAGTTGTATCCAACTCTGGGGGTTGATGCTCATCTCCATGTCTAAGCCAAAGAGCTGGCATTGTCCTTAGACACCTCCAAGGTCATGTGGCTGGCATGACTGCATGGAGCGCCGTTACCTTCCCATGGGAGCGGTACATATAGATCTACTCACATTTGCATGTTTTCGAACTGCTAGATTGGCAGAAGCTGGGGCTGACAGCGGTACCTCATGCCTCTCCTTGGATTCGAACCTGTGACCTTTCGGTCAGCAAGTTCAGCAGCTCAGCAGTTTAACCCACTGTTCCATCAGAGAGTGGAACATAGGGGATTGTTCAATTGAAATCACATCCATATATTAGTTGCTCCCTTCAGATGCAAAACTAACATAGAATCATAGAGTTTGAAGAGACCTCATGGGCCATCCCATCCAACCCCCTGCCAAGAAGCAGGAAAATCACGTTCAAAGCACTCCCAACAGATGGCCATCCACCCTCTGTCTAAAGGCCTCCAAAGAAGGAGCCTTCACCACATTCCTGGGCAGAGAGTTCCACTGCTGAACAGCTCTCAAAGTTAGGAAATTTTTCCTAATGTTCAGGTGGAATCTCCTTTCTTGTTGTTTGAAGCCATTGTTCTGCATCCTGGTCTCCAGGGCAGCAGAAAACAAGCTTGCTCCCCCTCCCTATCACTCCTCCTCACATATTTATACATGGCCATCATGTCTCTTCTCAGCTTTCTCTTCTTCACGCTGAACACTTCTTGAAGAATGCTAATCTAAAATACGGGCAACCGTTGTCCCTCTCGCCATAGCTAGCCTGGTTCTATAGTGAAGGACAATAGGAGCTTTAGAACATCAGAAAAAATCCACTCCTGGTTTTAGACATCCTGTTAGAGAAAAAAATGCAACTTTGTTAGAATCATGCTGTAAAGA